GGCGAGTACGTCGGGTTCGGGTCGACGACGCCCATTTGCTGCAGCCGGCGGGCGAAGCCGGCGGGCGTGAAGTCGGGGTCGGCGGGGGTCAAGTCGGGATTGGCGGCGGCGTGCTGCTCTATCGCTGTGGTTGGAGTTTTTTTGGTTAGTGGTGGAGGAGGGGAGTGGCAGCGAGGCCCCCGGGGGGGGGGGGGGATGAGGCGTACGTTGTTGGTCGGACGGCTTGGGTGCGCGAGCGGGACGCGTCGTCTGCGATACGGCCGAGGCTGCGCTGCGCATAGGGAACTTGCGCGCGGCTTTGGAGGGAGAGGAGCCCATCCTGTGATGTGATCGTTTCTGTGTGCGTCTGTCGGTCGGATCGAGGGGGGAGCCGGGGGTGGCGATCGATGGAGTCGATGGAGCACCTGCAGGAGCTGAGGACTGAATTGATGATTCGAGAGCTTTTCTGACAAGAGATGCGGCTGCTATGATTGATTATATACAGTACGTGCGAGGTGGGCGCGTGAGGGTTCGTCGTCAATGCGCGGATGGAAAAGAGGCTCGTCGCAAAATGACAAAATGACGACACTGTCAACTTTTTTGGCCTGGGGTATCCACAAGCTGCCACTCCACGGTTCGCTTACACGCCTCGATGAGCAAGAAACCGCCAACATATTCCTCGATACCTTTTTGGGGGGCTTCTCTTTGTATTATTTATCATGTCGAATACCAAGTGTTCGCGGTGAAAAAAAAAAATTTATTTGATAAGTGCTCAAGGGCTATATTAAGGATTGTTATATAGTTGGTACTGATATACCTTCTTCATTATTCATAGTACATCGCTCATGTTCTTTTTTCTTTTTTGCATATTTCGTAACCATTCTCCTCGCTTAGCACTTGGTAATGTAGAGACCAATAGGCGAGGGGTTGTAGTCCTGGAAGTACCTAAAGCTGGTGCTGCCGGCCGCCGAGATCTCGTACGCGACGCGCTGGCCCGCGGGGCAGTCAAACGTGGCGATGCTGTACGAATGGCCGGGGCTGACGGTGACGCGGCCGTAGTCGACCGCCTTGCTGGGCTGGTTGTTGTACGTGGTGGCGGCGGTGGCGGGCGCGCTGAGCCGGGCAAAGTCGAGCACGCCGTCGCCCGAGAAGGTGAAGCTCGACGTCTGCAGGTCGGCCTGGTTGGGGAAGAGGAAGACGAGGCTGCACTTGTTGCCGGCGTCGCCGCCGGGGATGTCAAAGTCGAAGATGGACGAGACGGCGCCGTTGACGACGCCGAAAAAGGAAGTGCCCGCCGCGCTGTCCGGGTGCGACTTGTCCACAGGCACGATGAGGTGCGGGAACTCGTACGGCCCGCTCAGGTCCGTCGGGCACGTCTTGGCGGGAGGAGGAGGAGGGGGCGGCGGCGGCGGCGGCGGTGGGCACCCGGCGTGGCAGCCGTCGGACACGAGCGTGACCTCGCCGCAGTTGGCGCCCTGGTCCTGCTTGTTGTAGACGTTCCACTGGCCGGCCTCGCCCGTGGCGCACTCGAAAAAGGTCGTCTGCCCGTTCCAGGAGACGCGGCCGTCGCAGCCGATGGAGAAGCCGCCGTCGGGGGTCTGGCCCTCGTCGCACTGGAGGACACCGGTAGGGGCTGAGAAGTGTTAGCATGGATGGATCTTGTATACAAGGGAAAAAAGGATTGGCACGTACGGGTCCACCAGCAGCCGCGGCCCTTGTCGTCGGTAATCTTGCCGTGTCGAAAGGTAAAGGTCGAGGACTGCACGCCGTTGCCGGCGCGGACCTGGCCGGAGGAGATTTCGCCGACACAGCCGACGACGTCGCCGCCGGCCGTCATGTGGAACTGGCATCCATTGCCGCCGCCGCCGCGGATGGTGAGAGCATTGACGACGGCGCCGAGGCTGAGAGCAATAGCGGCCGACTTCATTGTTGTATATGAGATGTGTATGAGATGGGTGTCGAGTATAGTTGTATAGAGTACAAGTTCAAGTAGTGATCTGTAAAGGCTTTGATCTTCTTTAGGTGGTATAAAGATGTAGATGAGATATACGGGAATTCACCCAACGCCCGAAGGACGGGGCGCTCGGTCACTTATATAGTCGAGAGGCCATACATTTCGCCTCCCATTCACCTTGACAAGGCTGGGGGGGCAGACAGGGCACTGCCAGACTTGTGCTGGGCCAGACGACAAGGGTTCGCTGAATGTGCCCAACCCTCACGATACCGAAAGAGGGCATAGAGCCCCAGCGGACGAAATATGAGGCCGACGATGCAAGGACAGACGTCATTGGGCCCGTTGTCCAGCCGGGGAGGGTCAAGCAACGCGCTGGCCAGCCTTGCCGTTGGAGGGAGAAGGGCAAAGGTCATCGGGCTGTCGCGAGGACCAAAAAAGCAAAAAGTAAAAGCGCCAAGAAAAGCTCCGCAGGGCTGGGGGGGAAGGACTTCGTATTCCCGGCGATAGATGGGAATATAAGTGGTGGGAGAGTCTGTGCTTTGGGGCCGGTGGTGGCGAGAAAAGAGGACCGCTCGGAACTGGTGGAAAATGCAATAAAATAAATAATGAATAATGAATAAAATAGTGACGATGATGGGGGGAATCCCTGTCGCTGTCATGTCAACGTGGGCTAATTTGTACTTTGCTTTGGCTATTTGCGGCCGAGTGGGATGACAAGCTGTGAGATGGCGTGGTACAGCAGCTGCCAATATTGTGCACATTGCTATACGTTCCAACGCATATCATCTAGTCTCTCTGATTATGATTGATTGTGTTTTCGTCTGGTTTTAACCATGGTATTATCAATCCAGCTTTTATTCTTGCGAAATGGGCCAGTCGAAACCATAGAGCAAGCGAGCTGTCCTGCCACCAAAATATCAAAATATTGTCGCTCCCCCTCCTCAACTTCTGCTTCCTTCCAACGCCCCCCCCCGCTAGACTTGTTCCTCCCTAGCATCGCGACCCAAGAGCAAGAAGGCGCCGAAACATCGTCCGCCTTGGTCTGCCTACTACATCAAGAAAACGCCCCAGTCTCAATTCCGGCCCTTTAGCTTTGTTCAGAATGACGCACTTGTTGTCTCACCGTTGGGGCTCTACGACTTTGTCAAGAGACGAGCTGACAAGGTCGGAAATAAAACAAAACGAGACAACCTTGTCTCGTATTCAGGACCATCATCCCCGAAAACCGATACTACTGGCATTGTCCCGCCAAAATGCAACAGTCTTTGGCTCAGTCTCCAGTTTATCCAAGACCATCTTGCCATCCCTCCAACCCCAGCCTTGTGGGTTTCAATACCCGAACTTGCTTTGTCTCATCCAGACGAGGTTTGCCGTCTCACTCGCTGAACAACTACTGGTCAGCACACATCCAGTACGCTGGAGCCACATGTGCTGGCATACGAGATGATCGCCGCCACTGCTGGCCCCAACCACTAAGAAAGAAGATACTTGCAGCCTTTGGACGGGGCTACCCAAAGGCCTATCCCAGCCACCGGCATTGCTGATCCGATCGTCCGTCGTGATGTTTTTTGTCCGCTTCGCATGCCACGAGAGGCGGCATCCAGGCGCATCCAAAAGTCCTGGGCCAATTCGGCAGTTGTTCTTCCTCGACTCAATCGTCAAAAATTGTCTAGTATTTTTTTCAATTCTTTTATTGAAATCATGCCGTCCTCAACTGCGGAACCCCCTTGCTCGCGTTACTCGTTAATCAATCTTGCCAAGCCCGTTTTCGTCGCTTGGCATCTTGTCCCCCCCCAGGCACCCCAAAAAGGATTTCCGCGGCAACATGACGACAGCGGACGTTGAACGAATAAGTGGTGGCACAGAAAATGGAATCAATGGCTTTTTTTGCGGCCTCGCCTGTAATGGCTGCCGATGTACAAGGATGCTGGATCTGGACGGCTTGCAACACCCTCCCCAACGGACCATCATCGTCATTGCCCGAGCCGGGCAATCGGTCGACATCTCGCCACCCATTCGGAGGCCGCCAAGGCTCAAGAGGTCGGTTATTACGTAGGAGCCCTTCGTTTATAGGTGAGCTGTGGACGTGTGGATGTACATGCACCATAGCAGGCTACAGCCTGAAGAGGGCCAAACGTACAGCGATGCGGACTCCAAAATGGTCGTCGCAGGAAAGAGTAAACACAGGCTGCTCTGATTCATCAGAACCTGCTCAATGCTCAATGCTCACGATTATCACCTACACCACCGTCCCAGACAACCCACCACCACGGCACACTAGCACTCTAACCTCATCCCAAGACGTATTAGCCAAAGGTCAACTATCAACACCCTGACCTAGACCTCTTTTCCCTTCTGCCCTGTAACCATGACCTGCCGAATAACGCAAAATATGCCCTGTTCGCCGGAAAAAGCCAAAGCGGAAGCATAACCCAGAGTTAAGACGATGCCCTTCACTGCAGCCCGCCGCCACCAACGAGCTGGCACCTGTCGCCATGAGGGAGCCTCACCACGCTTCCCCGCATTGAGGACCGAATTTCAGCCACGTTCCGCATTCCTCCTCTTTTTCAACGTTTAATAGCGAACGGGATTTGAGATTGTTGAAATACCTCAATGCCGGGCCAAGGCTCAGCCCGCCGATACGCATCACGGGGCTCACCAGCTTTCTTGTCCGACGTCGCCTATTGCGGATGTTTGGTGGCGATGGAGGCGTTTCAGCTCTTAGGCTGGGGCGAAGTGTAAGAAAGGTGAGACCTCCGAAATTTGTTTGGTCGTTGGGGTAAGGCGTCTTTTTCTTTTGAAAGACCCTGGATCCTAGCGAGCTACATACGTTATGCCGCCCTCGATAAAGTACCGGAAGCAGCCGTGGCTTGCCTCCAGCACGAGTCTATTAATTTTCAGACTTTATCTCGGCATCAGTTCAAGTGCGCAATTTCGACGATTTGGATCAATTGTATTCAGTTATAATAGTAGCAGTCGTAACTCGTGTACATGGAAGCATCTTGCCTCGTCGGCGATGCAAGCCAGTCCGGGCTCGGCTCCGGTCATTCTTTCAGATCCCGACCGGGCGTCCAACACGTACATCGCAAAGCGACACTTGCGGGAGGGCTGTACTCCGAGCTAGCTGGAGCTCTTGGACGCTATGCTACGCCATGACAGTCCATCGTGGTGCCGTGAACTCGGCTCATCCGAGAAGCTGTGGCAGCTCATGGAGCAGTCCAGAACATGGCGTGGCAATCAGCCGGGAGCGAGCATCAGTGCACTAACTGCATCTGATGGCTGTGGGTATCTATCATCGTCACCATTTCCTTCACTTCTTGAGCCGCTTGCTGGAGCGTGTCACACGGACGGGAGGTTCGGGCTCAACCTCCTGTTCGACTTCCTCCTCGGCCTCCTCTGCCACGGGCTCCTCCTCGTCGTTGCTTTCGTCAGTGCCAGCACCCGTCGTGGCACCAAATGATGCCTTGCGAGAAGGCCCGTCAGTGTCGCTGTCAAATCCTTCAAAAGACTCTTCCTCATCAACGTCGCTTTCTTCCTTCTCCTTCTCCTCCAGGGGCTGAGCCTCGGCAGTGTTGTCAAAGGCTTCCGTCTGAGTGCGCTTCTTGGGCATCTCACCAAGGCGACCTTGGCGGCCCTTGCGAGTCTCGCCACCCTCTTGGCCATCTTCTTCAGTAAGGAGGGGAGGGGGGGTGAACCACGGGATATTGCCACGCATAAAGTCGTTGAGCATCATCTTGGCGACACCGTCCAGGTCAGGCTCACCACCCTTGAGGAGCCGACCACCCTTGCGGGCCAAAAGTTCCAGTAACTCCGTGGCATTAGTCCAGTTGGTGAGGTCATACGTCTTTTCCATGTGACGACGCTTGACCTTGCCCAGAAGGGCTGTGATATACTGTTCTGGGTTGTCGACTTTTTCCACACGGACGACACCGCGGAGAACAAGGTCGGTGGGAGTGTCATTGTTTGCGGGGGGGACGACACCAGGGCAGTCGATGAGGTAGATGCGCTTCATCAGGGTAACGTATTGCCAGACCTTGGTCTCACCAGGAATGGGCGCCACAGTGCAGACCTTCTTCTTCAACAAAGTGTTGATGATGGAAGACTTGCCAGTGTTGGGACCACCAATAAGACCAACGGAGATTTGCTTTCTGTCCGAGTGAAGAACGGAGAACTGGCGGAGAAGCTGGATCAAAGAGCCCTTGCCAAAAGAGTTGTTGATGTTGGCATGGAAAGCCAGTGTGGGATACTCCTTTCCAAGATGCCTAACCCAAGCAGCCTGTAGAGAGTCAGCAATGAACCTGCCAAGTGTCTACAAAGCAATCATGAATGAATGATAAAATGTGAAGGTCATAACTAAGAAGACTCCTGTAAACGCGTCCGAGAGGACACAGGAGCCTTCAACTCGGTCGACCTAAGGCCTTCTCACGACGGCAACCAGAACGGTTCCCAATCTAGCCGAACAGCAAAACGCTGCCGACATTCGAGCATGGCGGTTATTCTCCCAATGTTGTAACAGACAAACCTCCGTAAGAATATCGAGAAGGAGTCCTGACAGGATGCCATTGGGGGCCTCTCGGCCAGAAGAAATGTAGGGCAAACAACAAAAAAAAAAGAATTGTACTTACGCAAACGCCTGTGGGAACCAAATCACACTTATTCAAGACGAAGATAAGATGCTTGTGGGGAGCCTCCTCGCGCAAGTACTTTTCCACGCTGCGGCAACGGGTGCCGATGGGGTCGCGGGCATCCAAAACATGAATGACAACATCGGACGAGTCGATGACCTTGTACAGCTCGTTCCAGATACGCTTACTCTGTCCCTTATCAAAAACGGGCTCAATGGCCATGGCAAAGCTACCATCCTCCTCGGTGTTGCCGGACTCGCCGCTGAGCAGCTTGGCTTGCTCGAGGCGCTCCTCGTATGTGTCCATGCTCTTCTCGGTGCCCTCAACAAGATCGTCCCAGTTGGCCACGTCGAGCTTGACGCGCTTGCGCTGGGCCTTGGGGCCAAAGACACCGGAAAAAGGTGCCGTCTCAAGCGTCATTTTGGCCTGGTGCTGTTTGATGCCGTTGGTGGTGTCCTTGCCGTCGCGGATGAGCGTCATAGGCAGCTTGTTGGACTTGAGGAGCACCTGGTACGGGTCCTTGGCCTTTTCCTCCATAGCCTCGCGGAAGGCTGTGAGCGTATCCTGTGACACGACGCGCGTGTTGGAGAACCACTTGCGGTTCGGCTCGATGACGGCCGTGGGCACGTCGCGCGACTGCCAGGTTGCGGCCTTTGTGATTTGACCACTGGCATTACGCTGGGCCTTTCCCTCTTTGTACATGTTCAGGAGTTTGACTCTCTTCGCATCGCTGCCAAGCCAAAATGGTCAGTCTATTGATTATACCGCAGCGAAAAGGCTGTTTCAGCAGAGCCTTACCGATAGAAGTTTTCACCCTTGGTACGGACGTTGGCCATGCCATCGCCGGTCTTACCCTGGCGAACACGCCGGGTGGCCTCTTTCTTCCCGGTACCCATCTTGAATGAGGCTTGCCAGAAGATGGAGAAAAAAAACAGTTGGAAGAAGAGTGAGAAGAAAGAGAAAGGATAGCGGGATTCTGCCCAGAACTTTTTTTTCCATCCAGCATATTGGCCCCCACTTTCTGTTTTTCTGCAGGCGGTGTGTGTGGGGTGGCTGGGATTTTTGGGGCGCTGTCCAAGGGGAAACTGGTACGCGGCACCACAGTTAATCCGGCAGCCAGGGCTGGTCTGCTGTAGGCCAATTTTCAAGATGAACCCATCAGAAAGTTGTCTCGTGAGCTTCGCCATCGACTATCACGACCAATTCCACACTCTCCCGATCCACAATGTCGCTCTCATCGACGTGGAGCTGCCTGCGACCAGCGGCCGCCCGGCGCGTGCCGGTAGCAGCGGCATTCAGCAGCACTCCCTCACGCAGTAACACCAGCATCCCCCCCGAGTCGCCCTCCTACATCCGCCTGCCTCAGGTACCGCAGTCGACCGAGGTCAAGCCCGAGCGTGTACGCGGTACGCTACCCGTGCCCCGGGCCATCTTTGACCGCCGCGACGGCGCCCGCAAGGTGCATCCCGACTACATCACCCAGACAGCGCCGCAGCGCGCCAGCGACGCCCGCCCGCTCAGAAGCGACGCCCAGCGGTGGAAGAAGACCATGGCCGACAGCCGCCGGGAGAACCTCGCCGAGGGTCTGCAGGGCCTGTGGCGGCGCCACGAGACGCGCGAGCGGGACCGGGCCGGGCGCGCGCGCCGCCGGGAGCAGGCTGTGCGAGGCGCTCGCGAGGCCCCCGAGCCCCGGGCTGCCGTCATGACGCGCGGCACTGTTTTGGCGTCCATCAACGACACCGCCGTGCTGCCGGACCCGGAGCGCTTTGAGAAAGCGGAGCGCAGCCGCGCGTGGGTGCTTGCGCAGGACAGCGCCCGCCGTGACGCCCGCCGCGACGCCCTGATGGAGCTTTATATCAACGCCTCTAACTTCATCGTCACCGAGGCCGAGCTCAAGGACGAGATTGATCGACTCTTCCACGAGGACTACTTCCGCAAGCAGAGCGTCAAGGGGTACCGCCCCGGCGCCACCGAGAACGTCTGGGGCGTGCATGGCAAGCCGCCCGGCCTATCCACCATGTTCGAGTCGGTCACCCGGACCTCGACCAACCTCGCAAACGCAAGCGAGTCCGAGTTTGACCACTCCGTCAAGCGCACCAAGAAGATTTCGGAGGAATTGACCGGCGGCAAGATGGCATAGAGGGGCGTAGCATGGGGAATCTTGAGAGCGACGGAGCATGTACAGGACAATGCACACATTCAGCGCATTGCGTGTAAAATAATATATTATAGCATGTACATTTACTATTTAACAATATTTCTTGTTATTTACAGTCGAATCGTGAGCTTGTATAGGTATTGTACTGCTAGCGTCATACAAAAATGCTCAAGTTCAACAACGATGCAAACAAATAAAATAACAAGACGAAACATGTCTATCGCTCTTCAAAGAGTGCATCTGTTTCCCGTCTGGAGGCCGGGCAGCAAGTGTTCTATCTGCGCTCAACAAGAAGAATATGCATGGCGACGTAAGCCAGGACAATGAATGTGGCGGCAAACAAACCCAGGTTGCGGATATCATACCACAGCGCACCGTTCTGGAAACCAAACGTGCTGAGAATGGTAGCGCCGGGCACCTTGATGGGGATGCCAACCTTTTCGTCAACAAGAGTAAGCTCGAGAACTTCATTGACGATGAGCGCTTCGAACCCGTAGTGGAATATTGAGATATTCTGCAGCCAAGCGGCACTAGCCGGGATCTTCTCGCGATTGAGCAAGAACCCGGCAAACAAGAGACTGAACAGCATAACCAAGCTGCCAATGAGGTTGGCCACGCCGCCGTCCTTGAAGATGATACCGATGAACAAGCAAATGGCGGCGGCCGCGAGGTTGAAGAGCACCAGTACGATGATGAATTTGATGAAGTGGGGGAAGTCGGGAACGAGACCAGTCATGGGATACAGGATGGAGCCCATCAGAATAGGCGGGATGATTCGAAGCGGCACAATATCGAAAAGCACCTTGGCTGCAAAGTAAGTGGCTGGTGAGTAGTAGCCATTGGCTCGTTCACGTACGAAAAGCAGTCGCTCATTCGCAAACACAGTCAGACTCGTGAGCGTGCTGAATCCATACAGTGCTAGGAGGAAGAAGAAGAGTCCGAGTCTGTTCTGGAAGCCGGGAATATCGTCGGTGAGGCCATAAAAGAGGAATCCAGCAAACACGGCAAGGACAATGGCAATGGCGTAGTGGGTCAACATCAGCATTGGGTTTCTGTACAGGTTCTTGAAGGTTCGTTGCGAGAGAATGATGAACTGGCGAGGGTAACTGATGCGATGGTAACCCTTGCCGACTGCGCTGACATTGATGTTCGGGCCATCGACAGAATAGCCATTGGCATTTGATCCGTTGGCATCTTGTGCGGTTTCGATAGAATGTTGAATCTCGTCACGAATGTCAGCCGCAATCTGGCTCTGTGCAAATGCTCTGTACAGGAGATCAACATCGGTTTCAGATGATGCTTCAGGGGGCAGGTCGTGGTGGTCCTCGGGAAGGTGTCCGAGCGCTGGTTCTGTGTGTTTCTGAAGCTTGTAAGCCCCGATCTCCTCACCACCAGCATCAGACGACGCAGCTGTTTCCGCAGTGCGTCTGCGAGTAAACAGCTCACGCTCCTGTCGAGTACGGATGGAGTCAGAACGCTTGGCTCTCGGGCGAGAGGATGAGCTTTCGGATGGCTCGTCTCCGAGGCTGGCGCCGGATACACTAGCGATTGACTTGACAGCTCTCGTGCTGCTTGGCCCGACGCTCGCAGAGTCGGCACCAACAGTGCCGTCATCGAAAGGCTCAGCGCGGCTGGCGTGCATGGTAAGATCGACAAGGTAATCTGCAATGTTGAAACCAGGCGGGCACTCATAGCCAATGCTATCAAAGTACGATTGACAATCCGCAAATTTGCCAGAATAGACAGTCTTGCCCTTGGCAAGAAGGACTAATCGGTCAAATAAGGCGACAATGTTGGAGCGTGGCTGGTGAATCGTAAAGATGATGGTTCGCTGGTAATTTTTGGCCAATGTGACGAGGCACTCGACGACGTTGTAAGCGTTGTAAGCGTCCAAGCCACTTGTAGGTTCATCTAGAAAGAGAATAGACGGGCTGGTGACCAGCTCGCAGGCGATGCCAACACGGCGTTTTTCGCCGCCAGAGATGCCACGGCCCTTGCCTTCCTCGGATCCGATGAGTGAGTCTCGAATGTGGTAGATGCCAAGTTCCTTTTCCACTTCAAAAACGCGCTGCTCCTTGCTGGCCCGGGTCATGTCACGAGGCAATCTCAATAAAGCACTGTTCAGAATGGTCTCATGAACAGTCAAAGTTGGGAGCATTGTGTCTTCTTGATCAACGAAGCCAATGACATTTTTGTAGTCGTTATCTAGGACTCTTTCGCCGTTGACGTAGAAATCGCCAGAGACTTGGCCGCGTTTGTTCTTGCGGGCCAGAATGTCGAGAAAAGTAGTCTTTCCGGCGCCAGAAGCCCCCATGATGGCAGTAGCTTCGCCAGGATGACAGATGCCCTGGATTCCAGTGAGAATTTGCTTGCCGTTGAGAGAATAAGACACATTCTGGAATTGAAGTGACGCGGGCTTGTGGTTGGCCATGAGCTTGGTGCTCTCGTCATCGGAGTCGTCAAGATGGATGGCGCCATACTGCAGTCTGCGACGAGCCAGATACCATGTCACGACAATGACAGCAACAACAAAGAGGGCGCAGGCTGCGATGATGCTGGCGATGAGGGGGGTGTTGATTTGTTTGACAGGGCGTCGGTAGCCAGGCACTTCAGTCTCGTGCATACACTCACCCGCGCCGCAGGTAAGCAGGATGCTAGAGTCACCCAGAAGATCGGTCATTAGCTGGTCCATCTGGGGCTCTTTAAAGGCGCAGCTGTGGAAGGTGTCGTTTTTGTTGTCGCATTCAAATGATGCGGGGCCCTTGATGGCTTGGTCCAGAAAGTCGGTCAGATCCATGGAGCCGTCCTTGCCACACATCATGCGGTCGGGGATGCAGGCGCATTCAATCTTGTTGCAATTATACGCAGTGCCGTTAGTTCTATCGCCAAATGATGCGCTCGACTCGCACTCGGTGAGGTGGCAGTAGAAAGACTCGACCTGGTCAACCCAGACTAAAGAGTGTCAGCACAGCGGTATAGTACACTTTGATTTTTGCGTTGGCTTACATTGAAAGTCACAGTTTTCTGAATCCTTGTCGCAGGTAAAGGTGACCTCTGGGATCTGATCGCCGAGCAAATTGACAATCATCTTGTTGACGACATTGCATATTTGATGGTTAGTGCGGACCAGTTCACCGCTGCGATAGCAAACGCCGCCAGTCTCGTCGGGCATAAACGCATTGCAGGCGGAATCTTGAGTGCAGACATTGCAGTTGACACCGCCCCAGCCCTCGTCACAGTCGCAACTGTCGCCAGATCGCATAGGTCGGTCGCGGCCGCGGGCCAGAGAGCCACAAACTAATCGCGCGCAAGTCAGTATCTCAGTAGCCAGTTGGCCGGGTTCTCCATCGACTCACGAGGCTTGAGGCAGTCATCGCCACCAAATCCAGCGGGGCAATCGCAGATGCCGTTGAATTCGTTGCAGCCAGCGTACTGAGCGCAGCTATGGGCAGGGAGGAGACAGTTGAAGCTGTGCAAAGGGGGTACATTAGCAAACGCGGTCCATGTTTGAAGCGCTCGCATTGCGCGTGTGTTGGCTTACCATGGCGGGCAGCCGTCCGGACGATTACTGTCGCCCATGAGAGCCAGCTGGGCCCTCAACATGTCGGCGGTCGGGTAGGAGGCGTTGTGCGCCGCTACGACGAGCGCAGGCAAGGCGGCGACGACCCCGAACAGCATCCTCCTGAGGGATTTCATGGCGCTGTGCAGGAACACGGCCGCGGTGATGAATTGTTGAGATGACTAGGCGTCGATGATGTGGTGCGGAGATGGTTGTGGCTAGATGTGGATTGGAGACGAAGGTACCAGGCTGCCTCTTGACGGCTAGGCTAACCGCAGACCAGTGACGGATGGCTATGACGAGTGACACTTTAGTAGTACTTGCACGCCCCAGAGGTACATTTTGAAATACCTGGGCAAGGTACGGCGAGCGGCCCCACAACAGTGTTGGCAACCCGCTGGCAGGTACGCCCGAGGGACAGGTACTCGTATTAGTACCTTGGTACCTGTATCCGTCATGTACAAATTCATTACATGCAGATAATATTCATCTCGAAGAGCGGGCAAACTTTTAGAAAGCTCCATTCATACAGCGCATCCAGGACGCATATTCCCCCCGCCTCAGGCCATAAACTGCTTCCTTATTACCCCGAGCTGAGAGTTGATTGCCGTCTCGATACACAACCACCCACACACGTCCACCAGGCTGAAACCAAACCAGATGCTTTCTCCGCGAAAAATAGATATCCTTTGATTAGTGTCAACCTATGTCTCAGGTCTTACTAAATATTATTACCTACAAAAATTGTACGAAAAGCTTGTTTGAAACGAATGGTTGATTCTTAGCTTGTCGAATAGCACGCATCTATGCAGCCGTGGATTTTAAGCATACAAAAATGAATGACCGGGGGCTGCCTACCAGCGCTGCACAACCACATGTAACGTTGAAGCTTCCCCGCGTACCCCAAAACAATAGTATACTCTCAAGGCTCATTTCGACTCATAGGTACCCCAAAAGCAATATCGTCTGAGCCGTCTCTATCCATCCAATCGACCGCTCCTTGACCACACTCAGACGTGCACGCCGACCTCGGGCGTCCCACTCCCCAACTATTGCGGCGTACCCTACACTGCTCTCTAAGGAAGAGTCATCGCCCAACGACCACGAGATGAAGTGGACAAGGTCATTACAAGCCGTCCTTTCCTCGGCTATGTTTGCCATTTTCCGCCTTTTACCTCACGATTAAACAGGTTCTCTTGAGAATCCACAAGTCATGGCTCACCCGTCTACTTTCCCGGCTGAGCAATGGCTCTCGCGATGGCGCGGCACGTCAGGTCTACTCAACCTCGCCGATACGTATGCGTGCCCCATTTCCATCGATGACCTGACCAGTCTATCGTCGGAAAACGGCGAGGGGCCGCTGACGACCACCTCGAAGCTCAACTACGGAAGCACCAATGGGTCGTCTGAACTGAGGCGGAGCGTGGCCAAGCTCTGCAGTGGACAAGATGCGCAACTCACAGAGGACGACGTGGTCATCACACAAGGCGCCATCTCGGCAAACTTTCTGGTGCTTTACGCGCTCCTCGGTCCAACAGACCATGCAATCTGCGTCTACCCGGTCTACACGCAGCTCTACTCTGTACCGGAGACGTTTGGCGCCCAGGTCTCGTTTTGGCGGCTCAAGGAGGAGAATGGCTACATTCCCGATGTCCGGGACTTGCATAACCTCTTCCAACGCAATACAAAGGTATAGTAGCGGGAGTAAATGGGAAAACGCCACTTACAAGTTGTTGGACCATTTGCCTAGACGACTATGCTGATTGCCCCCGCAGATGATCATCCTCAATAACCCAAATAATCCGACCGGGGCTGTGATCCCCGAGCCGGTGCTGCGAGACATCATCGCCATTGCGAAAGCACGGGGCATCATAGTCTTCAGCGACGAGGTGTACCGGCCGCTATTCCACGAGCCGGACAGTGCACCCCCGCCTATAACGGCATTTGGCTACGAGCGGACGCTGGCCACCGGGTCCATGTCCAAGTCACTGTCACTGCCGGGCATCCGCATCGGGTGGGTGGCGTCGCCGAACCGGGCGCTCATTGCGGCGTGCTCGCGGCGGCGCGATTTTACGACCATAAGCGTGTCGCAAGTCGACGACCAGATTGCAACCTACGCGCTGTCGCCCGCAGTGCAGCCGGCGCTGCTGCGACGCAACATTGACCTGGCGCGGCGCAACCGCCGGCTGGTCGAGGCGTTTGTGGCGCGCCACGCCGACCGCTGCCGGTGGGTGCGGCCCGGGGGCGGCACCATGGCCTTTATGCAGTTCCGCGGCGCGACAAGCGGCCGGCCGGTCGACGACGAGGCCTTTTGCGCCGACCTCATTGACAGGTGCAAAGTGCTGCTGGTCCCGGGGTCGCACAGCTTCGGCTGCGGCGAGGACTTTGCGGGCTACGTGCGGCTGGCGTACGTGTGCGACACGGCGGTGGTGCAGGAGGCGCTTGCGCGGCTGAGCAAGTATCTGGAGGAGCATCCGTGGGATGGCGGGGGCGATGAAGAGTAGGTAGAGAAGGATATAAAACAGAGCATGCATTTTGCGTAGCTGGAGACCGCGATGCAGTCGTCCGGGGTTTCAGGCGGGATTGAAACGAGTCGTTGACGATGTTGCTGGGTACCGGGGTGGCGAGCATTGCGTGTACACGGCAATGTCGGCAACGAGTTGACAGCCACAGCCACATTTTGGGTGTCGCTTTAGGCTAGCGTCGCCCGAGGGAGATGCGCGCGCATAAGAAAGAGAGGCAGGAAAGAAAATAGTGGATGACATGCCGTTGGTCATGCGGACATGTTATGGCTATCTAGCTTGAAGAACAAGTGAGTCTTCGGCTGCTGAACCGAGTTGTGATAGCCACATAGCCACAGCCGACGTGCATTTACTAGCACCATTTCGGGCAGCGAGCGGCTTATCAGGCGGAGGTGCGCAGATGATATGTATATACTTGCTAGCTTTCTAATTGAACCTGTCAATAGTATTCCTGGGATTAAATTGTATGTACTCACAGCTACTCATAGCTGACAGCTGTTTGCTAGAGCTGTGAATAACGTTTACGATGCGATGTCAAGAGGTGTACGAAACACGGGCAATGATCCGGCCGCGGCGCAGTAGAATTAGCATTAATTATTAAGACCGCCAACGGAGTCTCTCGTCGCTACTGTGTATTATTACCTTAGATCTTGTTCGGGCTGTATTTTGTTGCAGCGATGAGGCGCCTGGGGCAGTCAAGGCGTGTCGGAGAAGCCCTGTTCATTACCCCCTGCAGCAGTTCCGGGCTTTGGGTCTCTCTGAGGATTTTCGACGAGGGTCCCCTGGCTGTGGTTGTGTGGTGTTGAGCTTAATGGTGGCGCAGCAGCGCCTTCAAACATGAGACAGGCCCGCAGTATCAAGTATAGATCGCGGCTAGCTATTTACAGCGTTGGGAGGGGATTTGTTACGCCAATTTTTCCATTCAGTAATCGGTCCAAGTCGTGAGGAGAAGGATAGTGATGGAATATAGGCCAAGTACTCCGTGCAGATATAGGTAGATGTTTATTGGCTGGCATCGAATTGCGTCAGCCATCTCCGCTCTCCCCCGGATACGTGGCGGTCCTCATCTCTTGGCAGCGGCATGGGTGTGCCGAGGACGATGGGGAAGCCATGAGTAAACTGTCTCGACAAGTTGACGACTTTTGATGGAATCAAATGCCCATACAGCTGGGCTGACAAAGCTTATTCTTAGCATGCCAGCGTTATTCGTGTACAGGGGCGAACAAGGTGACGCATGCCCGTTAGTGCGGCCTGGAGCGGCCGAGCAGCCGCAAAGAATGGGCCGCCTCGTTGCTTTTCTTTGCCCTTGACCTGCTGAAGCACTTTTGGCACTCACCCATTCACATTGATTGGCCCCTGGGCGCCTCCGTCCGGGTTTCGCTCGCACCAGCGGCGCCGCCGAAAACGTGTACTAGTACGATAGTCATTGCAGCTGTGCATTACCAGTCCATTTCCTGGAACTAATAACTTACTAAGTAACTACTAGTCCCATTCCACGTCTCCGCTCCTCTTTGCTCTTGTTATTATTATAGAAGCGTATAGTCGCACACAGACAGGGCGAAGCCGAGCATTACGATGCCTTGCTCTCGTCCACTTCTTCTTCCAAGGCTCGCTCCCGCAGTCCACACAAGGCCAAAGCCACAGAAGGATTCCGCGATCCCGATATAATACCCCTCAATCCTCTGCTCTTTTCACGGTGCCACCTCTTGGACAATTTCTTGTCTTGCTACTTAGACTATCGGCTTCGTTAGCCTAGTGCCGCCGTCCCGCGAATCACGTCATCGACCCTCCAACAGTAAATCGCCAACCGGTACCCCGAACCGCACCCCAAAAACGCATCAATTCGCAATGAAGACCGCCGCTGCGACCCTGACGGCCCTGCTGTCCGCGTCTGCCACCGCGCAGTATGTGCTCATGGATTTTGAAAAGAGGCCGTATAGCAACCTGCAGCGCCGTGGCTCGAGCGTCGAGTCCGACATCTCCAATCTGAGACAAGACGGCGGGTACTTTGTTGACGTCACTGTTGGAACGCCCGGACAAAGATTCTCTCTCCAGCTCGACACTGGCAGCAGTGATGTCTGGGTGCCTTCGAGCGGATCAGCGGCCTGCCAGGCCAAGAGTGACAAATTCACACGACCCGGTCAGAGCGACGGCTGCTCTAAAGGTTCCTGTAAGTACCAAACTAAAAGAAAAAAAAAAGAAAAAAAAACTCGTTTGTCAATACGGCTCCGGCTTGGAATTTTCTAACAGGCATGCCAGTCACCTCCAGCAAGTCCACCACCTTCACAGCTGTTCAAGATGGCATATTTCAGATCCAATACGTCGATAAAAGCAGCGCCCAGGGCACCTACTTTCTCGACACCTTCCAAATTGGCGGTGCTACCATCAATAACCTAACCATGGGTCTCGCCGAAGAGACCGATATCCCTTTTGGCCTGATCGGCATTGGGTACAGGGGCAACGAGGCCTCGATCCAGACGGTGGACGCAACATACCCAAACTTGCCCATTGCCATGCAGACCTCTGGCAGCATCAAGACGGTGGCCTACAGCCTCTGGCTCAACGATCTGGACGCGAGCAAGGGAAACCTCCTTTTTGGCGCCATCGATACCGAAAAGTACCAGGGCGACTTGGCGCGCCTCGACCTTATCACGAGCGGCAGCTCCGGACAGGTGGTCGAGTTCAACGTCGCACTGACCTCGGTCAGCGGCCACAGCTCCTCGGGCTCCGATTCCTTCACCTCGTCTAGCTTCCCCATCACCGCCCTCCTCGACTCGGGTACCACCCTCTCGTACCTCCCCGCCGACATCGCCAAGCAGATCTGGCAAGAGGTCGGCGCCGCCAACGACTCAAGTCTCGGTGTCGCCGTTGTGCCCTGCAGCATTTCTGGCAGCGGAGCCTACTTCTCGTTTGGATTTGGTGGCAGCCAAGGCCCTATGATCAACGTCACTATGGACGAGCTTGTACTGGACTCGGCCGGTGTTAACATGTCCAATGGCAAACACAAGAGTACCCCTGCTTGCACCTTTGGTATCCAGGCTCAGGATTCCAGCAATGATGGCTCTGTAAGCAGCTATTTGCTTGGCGACAGCTTTTTGCGCTCTGCCTACGTCGTGTATGACCTGGAGAACAACCAAGTCGCCATTGCCCCGACCAAGTTCAACGCAACTGCCTCCAACGTCGTTCCCTTCCCTTCCAAGGGTGCCACTATCCCTTCATCTACCCTTGTGGCAGACTCCAACACGACGACAGGCGGCAGTAGCAGTAGCGAACCTAACTACAACGCTAGTAACGGTTTCCAGGGCGGCGCTGCCACCGTCGGTGTCTCTCTGGGACTCGTCGCGGTCTCCGTGTCGACCTTTTTGGCCATCGTCGCCCATGCGTTCTAAGTGTTAGGTTGAATTTTGACGTCTCTGCTCTTCCCGCAATGTCGTTGTGTATATCCTAGTGGTGCATGTTTGCCGCTTTTACGTAGAAATGTTGGTTCATGCCTTTGAATATAGGCTTACGTTATTAAAAGATAGACGAATATTAATCAATATCCAAACCGTCTCATTTCAAGGAAATTAGGATGAAATCGCTGAAATCGCTGAAATCGCTGGCTTGCTTGCGCTGGCTCCTTCACTGCTTCTGGCCTCCATACTGTTACCGCGCTAGCACGTGCATGACTTGAGATGTTGCCCCTGGCAGAAAAAAAGTTTCCGGGGACTTTGCGCTAGTTAGGTACTCTCAACCACGACAATCGTTTTGTTGCGGACACATTCGCAAGATGAGGGTCCTCAGCTCTGTCAGGTGGCTTAACTGCCGTCTGATTTCGGACTCGTCGAGATACACTGCCGGGTTCCGTGACTTCAAAGTCGCTGCAACGCCCTTTGCCACCCGGCGCGCATTCAGCCAGTCCAGCACCCAGAATGGCGCGGCGCAAGATGCGTGAGTATTGTCTCATGCCTTGAATTCCATACAAGTTTCCGATACTTTGGTGCTAATAAGGTCCAATTGAATAGTTTGAAAAAGGCGCAAGACGATGCCGCCAGTCTAACTCCCGAATACGTTGCCGCCAACATGTCCACCGAGGAGGCCGCTCGCCTCTCCCGCGTACGGAATATCGGTATCGCAGTACGTGCTCGCTGGCTTGAAATCTCAAGGCCCGGTTCTTCAGATGCTAACCTTGTGTCTAGGCGCACATTGACTCTGGAAAAACGACAGTTACCGAACGCGTTCTCTTCTACACCGGCCGAATCAAGGCGATCCACGAAGTCCGCGGCAAGGACTCTGTCGGCGCCAAGATGGACTCTATGGATCTCGAGCGAGAAAAGGGCATTACTATTCAGTCTGCGGCGACCTTCTGCGACTGGAAAAAGACGGAAGACGGAAAAGAGGAGACCTACCATTTCAACCTGATTGACACCCCCGGCCACATCGACTTTACCATCGAGGTTGAGCGTGCTCTGCGCGTCCTCGATGGTGCTGTCATGATTCTCTGCGCCGTCAGCGGCGTTCAGTCGCAGACAATTACCGTCGATCGCCAGATGAAACGCTACGACGTCCCTCGCATCTCCTTTGTCAACAAGATGGACCGCATGGGCTCCAACCCCTGGAAAGCCGTTGAGCAGATCAACAGCAAGCTCAAGATGCCTGCCGCCGCCATCCAGGTTCCCATCGGCGTCGAAGATGAGTTCGAGGGCGTCGTAGACATCATTGAGCGTAGGGCCATGTACTTTGAGGCGCCGCGTGGTACCAAGATCCGCATTGAGGACAATGTTCCCGCTCATCTGCAGGACCTTGTCGAGGAGAAGCGCCAGATTCTGATCGAAAAGCTCGCCGACGTCGACGACGAAATGGCCGAAATATTCCTTGACGAGCAGGAGCCCACCATCCTCCAGATCAAAGCCGCCATTCGCCGCGCCACCATTGCCCGCAAGTTCTCACCAGTGCTTATGGGCTCCGCCCTCGCCGACAAGGCCGTGCAGCCCATGCTCGACGCAGTTTGCGACTACCTACCCAACCCGGGCGAGATTGAGAACACGGCACTTGACAAGCAGCAGAACGAAAAGACGGTCAAGCTCGTGCCCTACAACTCGCTCCCCTTTGTCGGCCTTGCCTTCAAGCTCGAGGAGAACAACTACGGCCAGCTGACCTACATCCGCGTCTACCAGGGCACCCTCAACAAGGGCTCCTACCTCTTCAACAGCCGTACCGACAAAAAGGTGCGCATCCCGCGCATCGTCCGCATGCACTCCAACGAGATGGAGGACGTTGGCGAGGTGGGCGCTGGCGAGATTTGCGCCGTCTTTGGCGTCGACTGCGCCTCGGGAGACACCTTTACTGACGGCGGCCTTCCGTACACCATGACGTCCATGTTTGTGCCTGACGCCGTCATGTCGCTGTCCATCAAGCCCAAGCGCACGACCGACGCCGACAACTTCTCCAAGGCCATGAACCGCTTCCAGCGCGAAGACCCGACGTTTCGCGTGCACGTCGACGCCGAGAGCGAGGAGACCATCATCTCGGGCATGGGCGAGCTGCACCTCGAGGTCTACGTCGAGCGCCTCCGGCGCGAGTACAAGACCGAGTGCGTCACCGGCCAGCCGCGCGTCGCCTACCGCGAGACCGTCGCGCGCCACGCCGACTTTGACTTTCTCTTCAAGCGCCAGTCGGGCGGCCCCGGTGACTACGCGCGCGTTGTCGGCTACATTGAGCCCAACGACGACCCGAGCACCAACTTTTACGAGAGCCAGGTCATTGGTGGCACCATCCCCGACAAGTTCCTGACGGCGTGCGCCAAGGGCTTCGAGATTGTCACCGAAAAAGGCCCGCTTCTCGGGCACCGTGTCATTGGCGCCAAGATGATTATCAACGACGGCGCGACGCACGTCACCGACTCGTCGGACCACGCCTTTAGCCTGGCCACGCAAATGGCCTTTCGCAAGACGTTCCCAGAGGCCGGCGGCCAGGTGCTCGAGCCCCTGATGAAGACGACCATTACCGCGCCCAACGAGTTCCAGGGCGCCATCCTCATGCTCATGAACAAGCGCGGTGCCGTTGTGCACGACACGGACATTGGCACCGAGGACTTTACCCTCACCTGCGACTGCAGCCTCAACGCCATGTTTGGCTTCAGCTCCCAGCTGCGCGCGGCCACCCAGGGTAAGGGCGAGTTCAGCATGGAGTTTAGTCACTACGCCGCCGCCGCGCCGCACCTGCAAAAGGAGCTCATTGCCAAGCACGAGGCGGAGCTCGAGGCCAAGCGCTCGAAATAAAACGAAGAATAAAACGGATAGAGATTGTGTATTGGAGATTTTTGGCTGCGGTCAGATTTCCACTGTATCATTATGGCGCCTGGGCTTGTATAAAATGAAGGAAGTTGCACGATTTACAGAAATAACTCTTCTCTAGGTAGTTCAAAAGTTGATTGTGTACTTTATCAAACGGTATTTCGGAGCAACAGAAAACGAGTTTAGAGTTGGATATTGTGGCATTAAGAACTGCAATAGACAAAATATCATTTATATACAATAATAAGCCACCCTTACCAAGATGCACGGGTTGAGAGGTTCGCGGATGGTGATGTGATTGTGCTGCGTAATAGCTAGGAGTTCAGTCCGCAATAATCTGTGTTTCCTGTTTTTCTTTTTTTTCTTCGGATGCATCTCTCATGAGCTGAAGCTTACCTAACATCGGCGACAGGGTCCTACTCCACAGCCGGATCCGAGGTCGGCAGCCGAGGGAAAGTTTCAACTAATTATTTTTCTTTCAGGAACCACAACTCAGTTTGCCGCTCAGTCACTTGCACATCAGGTCAATTGAACAGCAGCCATGTCTCTCCGTACTCTTCGCATCGGTACAAAACCCTCCTCCCTCCACTCTCGAGCTATCCAACACACCATGTATCCACTAACCTCCCACGCTGCTGCGTCACAGGCCTCATCCCCGGCGACGGCATCGGCAAGGAGGTCATCCCCGCCGGCCGACGTGTGCTCGAGGCGCTGCCCGCCGCGCTCAAGCTCAAATTCGACTTTGTCAACCTCCACGCCGGCTTCGAGACGTTTGAAAAGACCGGCACCGCGCTGCCCGACGCGACCGTCGACACGCTGCGGAGCGAGTGCCAGGGCGCGCTCTTTGGCGCCGTGTCGTCGCCGACGCACGCCGTCGCGGGCTACTCGTCGCCCATCGTCGCCCTCCGCAAGCGCCTCGACCTGTACGCCAATGTGCGCCCCGTCAAGACGGTGCTGACGGCGCCCAAGCCCATTGACATGGTCATTGTGCGCGAAAACACCGAGGACCTATATGTCAAGGAGGAGACGACGCGCCAGACGCCCGAGGGCCGCGTCGCCGAGGCCATCAAGCGCATCTCGGAGCGCGCCACGTTTCGCATTGCCACAATGGCCGGCGACATTGCCGTGCGCCGGCAGAAGCTGCGCGAGGCCGGTGCGGCTAGCATCCACAAGAGCCCCGTCGTCACGATCACGCACAAGTCCAACGTGCTGTCGCAGACGGACGGCCTGTTTCGGGAGGTGTCCAAGACGGCGCTCGCGGACCCGAGATTCGCCTCGGTTGCCGTCGAGGAGCAGATTGTCGACTCCATGGTGTACAAGCTGTTCCGGCAGCCCGAGGACTACGACGTCATCGTCGCGCCCAACCTGTACGGCGACATCCTGTCCGACGGCGCCGCCGCGCTCGTCGGCTCGCTCGGCCTCGTGCCGAGCGCCAACGTCGGCGAGGGCTTCGCCATTGGCGAGCCCTGCCACGGCAGCGCCCCGGATATCATGGGCCGCGGCGTCGCCAACCCCATTGCCACCATCCGCAGCGCCGCTCTCATGCTGGAGTTCCTCGAGGAGCCTGCGGCCGCGGCTGCCATTTACGCCGCCGTGGACGCGAACCTAGAGGAGGGTAAGCTGCTCAGCCCCGACCTGGGCGGTACTGCTACTACCGAGCAGGTTGTCGAGGATATCCTCCGCAGACTGTAGTTGGGGGTTGCTTGCTGTAGTCGCCTTGTATTAGAGTTGAAAAAAGTCAATTAAAACGATACAACTTGCACCCATCGGGTCAATATGTTCTTGATATGAATTGCTCGGCCATAACGGCCACCGTTTCTGTATTCAAGCAAGGCAGAAATTACAAGCCTCATATCTCTGCCGTCAAACTTTGGAGGTCGCATTTTGAGATGACATTCTCTTACGTGCAAGGCTGTGGGCGTGTACAGGCCCCAGTCTCGCGGCCAAGATCTATTACTTTGTTTGTGTTGGCCGGTCGTACATAGTACGACATTAGAGTTGAGACTTTGTTGCTCACCAGGTCCGTCGTCATTGGTAAGTCCCATTGTCGGCTACATCGGGATTACAGTGTTACACCATATGTAATTTCTTATGAGCATCTATGTTGTAAATTAGATAGTCGGCGTTGGACAATGACTTGTGCACATCCGTCAAACATTTGAGAATCGAATGCGTTACGCTGGTGCTGCGCTGCCATCTACGTGACTTCTTGTTGACAACTTGAGCAGTCGGCTCGGGATCTTCCTTGGTTTCGGTATGCACTAGCCATCGGGCATCCGGGGCTCGTGTTTGAACCGGTAAGCATGAATGAGCAAGGGGTTCCGTCAGCAAACGTCAAACTGCATGACATGCAGCCGATGAAGATCGTGCATAGGGCAGCGCGTGCCCGTGCTCTAGGGGGGACACAGAGCCCGGATCACGATGTGGCGGGATCTACTCCGTAGCTCGGGGTAGAATCGCTGGGGAAAGAGTTTGGATGGAGTTTCGAGTCATCCTGGATCCATGACCAAGTGGTGATTCTGTGTCCGTACAGACAGGGCGTAGGGCAGCGGGAAGAGGCCGGCACACGGGTTGGCTTTTGTCATTGGGCTTCAATGTGAGTTCAACTTTGAAAGAAGCAACTTTGAAAGAAGTTGGTTCTGCAAAGTGGAGGGCCAGTTAAAATTGCGAGACAATGACGGTGGCTCTGGAAACAAGACAAAGTCGCATGGCGGCGGAGGCATGCGGGCGCCGTGGAATCGGAGGGTCTGGTGGAGTAAAGAACTGACTTGCAGCAGCACTGGAGGGTGAATTTGGAGGCAGTGATGATGCTGATGCTGAAGATGGAGAAGAGTAAGGATATATAAGAGTAGAATCAAACGGATGGAAAATGGAATGGAGGGGAAGGACAGATTAGTTTGGGACGCGTCGCTTGTACCAATAGCGGCATCTCGGCTGCTGAGGTACCTGAGCCCAATGCCCATTGTTCCCCGCCCAAAGCTCGGGCGTTTGTTAAGCACAGAATTTGGCTTTGTTTACTTTTATTATTATTAGCAGCAGTGACCTTATTATTACTACCTAGGTAGGTATTGACCACCGTCGCTGTTTTGCTAGACGTTAATTTCTGCCCACGCTGCCCGAAACAGGACCCCTACCGTCAGGCTAATAAATACCTAACTCCCTTAGTACCTACCTACCTACCTATTCAGTTGGGCTCAGTGCCTCAACTGAACAACCCCTGATTTTCTGTGTGCCCGTTGACCCGCGTCCAGGCGCGCCACCGTGTATCCGTGCCATTATTACGGATATATCGCCTACCAATCTCCAGCCTGCTGCACCCACCAGCCTGCATCTCGCCGCACCATTCTTCATTCTCCGTACCTGAGCCCTGAGCTGAGTCCTGACCAACTCCCAAACGCTCCCACTCACACTCCCGCACTTGCGCACCTTGCCTCCCTTGCTGGCTCGTCCGCAAACTTGAAACGCCCTCTCCTGTCATCTGTTCATTATTCTCTCGGTAGGCTTAAACTCTATTCACCTGAATCCGACCGTTTGCTGGCGTCGCCGTAACCACTCTCTTCCCCCTCACCTCCCTGCCTGTGCCCACTCCCCAACAGACAACACATACCTGCCGCATACCGGATAGATACCATCGCGCCTGCTCTGGCACCGAATTCGCGGGTCCCTCCGAGGACGCCACGTCCAGCACCGTCGTCATGAGCCAGGTCAAGAACCTGCGTGCCATGTTTGAAAGCAAAGGCGACACCAGCCCGCCAGATAGCAGAGGACGCTCTCCAACAGGTGGCTCAACCCCAGCATCACCACTGCCCTTCTGGGCCGCACGCAAGCAGCATCTGCTCTCTGTCCAGCACCCATCCACCACCCGCGACGAGTACAAGTACCCCACGGTATTATCGGTGCCGGCGTAACGCGTGTTGCTGGTTCGGTCTCGGCGTAGGGACAGCTGCTCGCTTGCTGCGATGCCAAACCTTGATTCCTGGCCCGGATTTCGCTAACACGCAACTTCTCCAATAGCTGCTTCAACCACATCCGAAGCTCCCAGGCCACTTTCCAAAATCAGAACCAGCTTCGTTGCCGTAGAAAAAGACGGCCGTGTTGGACTGAAACGAGACCAGAGCGGCGATTCCAGCGTCTCCCGACGACGTCTCAGTAACGACACAGAGCCCAGCCTCTACCGCACCAGGAGCAAAATGTCCACCCAAGACGATTCTATCAGAAACCCGGCCTCCGAGTCTATCCCCGAGGCTCCGGATGCTGCTGAGATTGAGCAGCCCAGCAACCCCGCTGGACCAGCGGACACTGATTCAACCAAGCCCAAAGAAGCGGCTCTGTCTAAGTCTGCAACTCCACGTCCGACTCCGACAGCTTCCAGAGTAGCTGCGAAGCCTGTGGCACCCAAGAAGGAACCAAGCAGTCGAACGGTCACCAAGCCTGTCGCGTCAACTAGGGCTACCGGTGGCACCGCCGCCACTAAGAGACCAGCTCCTGTCAAGACGGCGGCCAATGAGACGGGCTTCGTCAAACCCAAGCCAAAGTCGCCCACGAAACCTGTCAACCTCCCATCGTCGTTGACGGCTCCGACAGCCGCTTCTGCCCACAAGGGCGGCGCAAGTCGACAGCCGAATCTTACCCACTCCGCCAGCGCTACGGCGTCGAAACCTGTGAAGCGTGAAAATCTTGTTGCAAGCCGTCCACGACCAAGCCTTGGAGCCCCCCCGGTCAGCAAAGTCTCGCAAGAATCGACGTCTAGCAAGAGACAGAGCCATGTTGACGAGGGCTTCCTTGCGCGTATGATGCGTCCTACTGCAGCCTCATCGAGCAAGACGATAGAAAAGGGTGCTCCACCCACTCCCCCAAAGAAGACAGCGCCGCGAATTTCTAATGTTGGTGCCGAAACTGGGCGGCGAATGTCCAAGAGCCCAGTTCCTAACCGTGCTGCCTCTGCTGCCCGCCCCAGAGAAGCCACTTCTCGGGCTGAAAAGTCTCTCAAACCTGCAACCGCCAAGACTGTGGCCAAGGCTGCCGCTGTACCTGCGGCTGCTGCTGTTGTTGCCACGAAGGTGCTTCCCGACTCGACAGCGTCCAAGCTGGCCGACAGGCTCCCAAACCTCGGAACTGGGGAGCCAGAGGAAGATCTTGAGCAGGAAACGACGAATGAGCCCGAGATCGAACCCGCACCCGTTGCTGAGCTGGACTCCGAGGTTGATCAGCACCCGGAGAATGAAACTGAACTCGAAGCCGAGCCTGAAGTCGAAGACGTTGTGGAAGCCACGGTTGCCGAAGAGGCTGAGGCTGAGGTCGAACACGCAGCCGAGAAAGAGACACTCGAGGAGCCCCAGGAGCACGTAGAAGAAGCCGAGACTGTCGAGGATGCCCATCCCGAGGTTGAAAACGAGAACGAAATCATCTCCATTGAACACATTAAGGAGCCCGAGCCTGCTTCTCAGGAGGAAGATGAAGACAGTATCGAGGCGCATGCCCAGGGCGAACTCCACGCCGACGAGGAGGCTGTGACTCTCGAAGATGCTGCTCTCGAAGCCGCTCAAGTTGAGACTGCTGAAGAGGCAATTGAGATTGCTGAAGAGGCGGAACCCAAGCATCTTGCCAGCTTTGACGACGTCACCAAGACTGCAGAGCCTGTCATCGGGCACTCCACCATTAAGGAAGGCGCCGTTAGTAATGGATTTGCCAACAACCATGAGACAGAGTCTGCCTCTGCCCTGCCTCAAGCTACCGAAACCAGTCCTCAACACGCCGATAAGGCCGCCGCCGATGAGACTGTTATTAAGGATGGTGACGCGACCGCGTAGAGCAAGGAAAGATGGCATCGCTGCGTTTGGTTTTACGCATGTCTTCTTCTTGGGCTGGGCTGTCTTGGGCAGTCGGCTTGTCTGTGGTGTCTGGCGATGCGCTAAAAAAGGCTTTATTTTGGGGGCTGGAGTTTGTTTATTCTACTGTGCAAATCTTTTTGTCAGACACAGCGACTTACACATTTATCTAATATCAAGTGATTCAAGTGATGGTTGGACTAGCCAGTAAACTGCCTTTTGTGCGTGCCTCGTTAGGTCTGCTGTGCACCTTGTTGTGTAGGGATAGAATGATGCTTTGGTGTATTTGATGTCGATGTCTATTCCTACAGTGACCTGCCAATCTTGTAAAATTTCCACAACTATGATACATGATGAAATCGCGTAGCCCCGTCAATGCTGACCTGGCTTGTTCCTCATCCTCTGCTTTCCTTCAACTCAACCACCCCCGCCTCTATGACACCCGGCACATGAGGGTGCCGCCGACCTTCTTGGCCAGCGCCTCACGCGCCTCCAACACACCCTCTGTCGTATCCAGAAACAGGCACTCCCCCAGCGTCAGGCCCTGCACGACGCCCGCATCCAGCTTGGTCGGGAAGCCGCGCACGACCCTCGCCAGCTCCTCTGGGCGGACCGTGACGCGCCGCGACGGTGTGCTCATGGCCCGGCACGTGCCCAGCACGGGCTTGCCGTCCCAGTATTTCAGCCCCAGCCACAGCCGGCGGCTGGAGACGTTGGCCGTCGTGACCGGCTCCATGGGCCGACTGAGCATGTCCTCCTCGGACGGCGGCGTGGGACCGGCGCGGTACACGGTGGAGAGGAAGCCGGCGCGGTGCAGCGCGGTGGCAAGCAGCATGCTGTGCTTTGTGCTCCGGAACGAGGTGAGGCCGAGTTTGGCCTTGGAGGCGTTTTGCAGGTGCGAGCACATGTCGACGAGCGTCTTGAGCGACATGCTGGGCGGGTTGTGTGTTGTGGTGTGAACGGAAAAAAATACGTCGTTTTTTTTTTAAGTATGCTGTTCGAAAGGAGTGGTAGGCGTCGTATGTATCTGTAGACGTTTTGAGGTCGTTCGTCTCCTGTTCTCGGCGGGAGGTTGTCGGACGCCTGCGCGTTGGCTTGATGCCTGCGTTGTGCGAAAATTCGCGCGATGTTGCTGGAGTATTGTATCCGGGTTGCGCCTTTGTTTGCAATCGTGTGGCGCGCCGCTTTTCTCACGTGGGCAGCTTCAATTGCAAAGTCCGGGCTGGGAAAGGATGCTGTCGCATGTCCTCAATTTCGAGGGTCCGCCAAAATTTCCTAGGCACCCTGAGCGGATGACTAAGCGCGTGTCGACCAACAACCACGAAAGGCTGACGCGTGGCTGAATTTCCAAAGCCTTAGGAAACTATTATTCTATAAAGAATTGTGGCAGGTATTTAAATAAGAGACGTTGAGTTTGCTATGGTTGAACGAATGAATACAAAAGGGTGCACGCCAACGGGCGGTGCTGTAATACATAATAGGATGGTGTGTATATGTTATACAAGTTTGTTGGAGTGGTGCTTTTTTGCCATCAAATCCAAATGCAAGTAAAAAAAAAAAAAGAATGCAGCCTTTTGTACGTGTTCCTACTCTTACATCATTTGCCATATCGCGACCGCATTGTGCCAGAGCTCCTTCATCGGCCTGCGGTAGCTGTAGGCAAGCCAGACACCCGCGGCGAGCAACGGGCTCGTGACCAGGCCGGCAAAGACACGCATCAGAACGCGGCCCTGCCGATCCGTGCGGCGGACACACTCCGAATACGGGCGGTTGCTAAAGACGACGAGCGAGTATTTCGTCTGCCAGCCAAAGCAGGGGAAGCGCAGCGACATGAATTCCTCAAGGGCCTTGCGCAGCTTGTACGTGGTCGACTGCGAGGTGCGCATCTCGACGTAGTTTTGAAACGCCAGGTCATTGATGGTGTGGGCGTCGACCCAGCGCGTGGCCGAGTACTCGGCGAGGGCCTGAGCGTGCGCCTGGTCGGCGGCGGCGTCGGCAGCGGTCGAGGCCTCCATTGCATCATAGTCGTCGGAGTCGTCGGAGAGGGGGTTGTTGGTCTCGGCCAGCTGGGTCCGGTGCTTGTCGAGAATGGCAAAGAGTAGGCGGACGTCCTCCATGCCCGTGTTCATGCCCTGGCCGTAAAAGGGGACCATGGCGTGGGCGGCGTCGCCGAGGATGACGCCCGAGGAGCCAAAGTGGTAGGGCTTGCACTTGAGGCTGATGAGGGGCAGGTGCGGGTTCGTGTTGAAGGCCTCTATGAGGGAGGCGTCGGAGATGTGGTCCCTGACGCCGGGGAAGTTGACGTCGAAGAAGTTGGGCACCTGCGACGGGTCGGCCTCTAGTGTCGCAAAGTGGCTGGCGGGTAGGAAGAGGGTGCAGGTGAATGAACCGTCCTAGACAAGTTAAGCAAGAGGTCCTTGGTACCAGCGGGCAGCGCAGTCAACTCACCTCACTGGGAATCGCAATAAACATGAAATCCTTGCCCGGCCAGATGTGCAAGTGGTTGGGTGAAATCTTCCACGTCTCGGCGCCGCTGCCCGTCTGGGCCTTGCCGGCGTCGATGCGGAACTCGCACCAGAGGGTGTCAATGTACTCTTGCTGGTAGTCCATGCGGGAGAACTTCATCAGGTGGTAGCGGACGGCCGAGTGGGCGCCGTCGGCGCCGAGCATGAGGTCAAAGGCGATTTCGATTTCGCGCGGACGGCCGCTCGGCGAGAGGCGGTCGCGGTCCTCGATCCAGGCCTTGCGGGCGCGAAAGTCGGCGCCCGTCAGCTTGTGGTTGAAGAAGAGCTCAACATTGGGCAGGTCCTCGAGCGCGTCCAGCAGACGGGCGTTGAGGGCGCCGCGGTCCATGGCCAGGTTGCACTTTGTTCTCCTTGTTAGCCGGAGGCTGCACGGGGTTTGTCACATGAGAAGAGAGACGGGCAGACTTACTCGGCCGTGGACGTCAAAGTCTTGGGGCACTTGGTATAAAGCGCCGGACGGTTTCTTGCCGTGAATCATGCGGCCGCGCATGGGCACGCAGGCGCCGAGAATGTCCTGCAGCAGATCCGGTAGTCCGGCATGACGGATGGCGTTAATCCCTCGCTCCGAGAGGGCGAGGTTGATGGACTTTGTAAAGTTGAGAGGGACAATGCGGGGATCCCGGAGGTCTGAGAACAAAAAAAAAATGAGCAAGTTGAAGAATGAATCTTTTTTTTTTGGACCAATTCTATTAGTATTAAACGAACCTGGACGCAACTCGTAGACCTCAACTTGGTAGCCTCGCTGGGCGGCGTAGAGGGCGGCCAGTGAGCCCACCGGCCCGGCGCCGACTATGACCATTTTCTGTGGTCGTGCCATGGCTGCTAAATGCTGACAGGACGGAGCACACCAAAGAAGACAGGGCAGACCCCGGCTGCAAGAGAGATTGAAGCTCTGTAAAACGCCCGGCAGGTCAATGACACTGGAGGGGGGAGCAAGTGTGTTGGTTTGAACGAGGGAAGAGGGCGAGAGAAGCCGAGGAAACGGACCATGAGATGAAAAAGAAGGATGATTGATTGCCGCGAACGGAGCAGAACTTACAGCGGGTGTTGGCGGACTTGTGGCGGCATTTCGGTGGTTTACAGTGGCGACTCGGTGAAATTGCTCAGCGTTCTCTACCACTCAGAGCAAGTGGGCTGAAATGCAACCAAGCTTCCCGAACCTCAGCCCACAGGGGCAGCTCAGCACGCGACTTTTTTTTTTTTTTTTTTCCTTGCGCCACACTCAGCTCGCCACACGCTGGTTGCTAAGCTTTCTTCATGCTCTGCTGTTTTGTTCCGATGACCAGACGATGGCAAGGTAAGTTATCGCTAAAACTCTCACACCCTATATATAGTTAGATACGAAATAATATATATATAAGTAGGCTATTATATTTTTTAAATATATAGTATCCTTATAATAAATATATATTATCTTTATATCTAAATATAGCCTAGTTACCTTACTTAGTATATTTAAATTATTACTTTATATAATATCTTATATAAACCTTCTTTTCTTCCTCTTAGCTATGAATTCTATTAATTCCCTTCTTTTCTTACTTATATATATTTATATATATCTTTATATATAAATAAATAGAATATTATATAATAACGATATACTAATATTAATAGTTACTTATAAGAATACTAGTAACAGGCTCTCCTAGTTGATCCTGCTGGGCTGTATAAGGCTGCGCGTAGAGATTTAGACGTTGGTCCTGTCCCGGTCTTCCTCCCAGCAGAATCAGGCTGCAGGGTACCTTCTTTGTTAAGCTCCCCAGCCAACTGCCTGCGCAGGCCGCGCTTCCTCTGCGCATCGCCTTCCCGTGCCTGATTTTCGTGACTCGCTCACGTTTGCATCTACTTAGCCACCCTTGAATGATATCCGTAGATTCGTCCAGCATGTCGGACACACCTCTCACGGATCGGTACTTTGGCACGACGCCGCCAGCCATTTCCAAGGCGCTGTGCAAGAAGGCGTGGGAGCACAACGAGGACCTCACACGTGCCGAGCGATGGTTGTTCCTCTGTCAGGGTACCGAGGACGGGCAGTTCCTCGCCGACGCCGCGCGCTCCGACGAGCAGATCAACTACGCCCTTGGCCGTCCCCCGCCCTTCGTGTTGCTGGAGAACATCCAGATGACCGTCGGCGACAAGTACACCAGCGTCGCGGACGTGGTCCGCGACTTCTGGAATCCAGACCGCACGGCAGACCTCAACTTTTATGCCCACGAGTGTGTCTGGCTCGTCTGGTGGACGCTGCACACCGCCGCCATCTACAGCCGGGACACGCCCAAGGACGTGAGCCCGGGCCTTGTTGACGCGGCCGGCCGCCTCGCGAGGAAGCTGCGCCCGGAGGAGTGGGCGATGGAGGAGGCAATGCGCGATCGCTGGATGAAGAACGAGGTCGAATGCCCTAGCCTGACCCAAGAGGACGACGTCTTCACAAGGCAGGAGGCGAGCAAGAACCACGAGGGCTGGTGGGTGGCCGGCGACGAGTGGCACAAGGAGTGCGATGCCCGCGAGGAGGCGCTGCGCAAGTCGCTCTGGGCGCGGGTCAACGAGGAGCTCAGGAACGCGGATGAAATGGACCTGGCTGCCGTGAGGGTCCTGCAGGCGCGGATGGCGGCCGAAATCGCGCAAGAGACGGCGCAGGAAGAGGCAGACAAGGCCCGCCAGGAAAAAAAAGAGAGAGAGGAGAAGGCGAGGAAGAGGCTGGACAGAGAGGCGGCGAGGGGCGAGAGACGCGCCAAGAAGCACAGAGGAGCGGCCGTTGGTGAGCTGGATAGCGATGTTGACGATGATGATGACGGCGGAAGCGACGTTGGCTTTCCAATCAAATGGTCTTTCGGACCGACTACTCGTCCGTGGACGCGAGAGGATGCTGCGCGACAAGACAGAAGGGAGATGGAAGAAAAGATTGCGCAGGAACGGGATCTGGAGGATGAGCGTCGGCGAGAAGAGGAAGCGGAGGCAAAGGAAAAGGAGAGGCTGAAAGAGGAGGTTCATACCTCACCACCCCCTCGTCGCTGCGTGACCATGGCGTCTGCGTCCTCACCCGCTGCCACCGCGTACACCCGCGTCGGCGTCCCCGACGGCGGCGGCCCCGGCAGCACGCGGCTCTACGCCCTGCTGTCCTCGTTTGTGCGCGACGCCAGCCTCGCGCCGCGCGTCACCGAGCTCGTCATTGACCTCGCCGGCAAGGGCACCCCCTACGGTCACCGCCCGGAGGAGTCGCCCGACCTGTCCCACGTCGTGCTGCCCGACGTCCCCGCGGACGACGAGGTGTACGCCGCGCTGCGCCGCCGCATCCTGGATCTCGGCATGGACGAGGCGCGCACCGAGAGGATGGCGCGCGCGCTGCGGTGGCGTGCGACGGCGGCGCCGGACGCCGGCCGTCGGACGCGCCGCCCGGGGTCCCTGGCGATGCGGGCAGACGACGACTCGCGCTTCGCGGCGCAGTGGCAGCTCACGGCCGGCGTGCTGCTGCTCTCGTTTTGCGAAAACGTCGACACGCTCTACCTCGGGCCGCTCGAGCACGGCCACCTGCTGCTGCGCGAGTACATGCTGCGCGCCAACTACGGTCTCCTCCCGCAGCCGCGGCCGCTGCAGAAGCTGCGCCGCGTCGAGGTGCTCACGCACGACCCCAACGGCTGGACGCCGACCGTGGAGCTCGGCGCGCACCTGCAGCTCGTCCACCGCCTCCCGTCCCTGGCCCGCCTCGCCGTCGACAACGCGCAGGTCTACCAGCCCAGCTGGAACCTCGCCGCCGCCCGCGCCAGCAGCATGACGGAGCTGAGCATCACGCATTTCGACATTGACCACGACTGGGTGGCGCGCGTGCTGCGCGTGCCGCGCGCGCTGCGGAAATTCACCCTGAGCGTCGGCGGCGTCGCCAACACCGACGGCGGCATGCCCATGATGAGCAAGGCCGTCGTGGGCCGCAGTCTGTGGAAGCACCGCAAGACGCTCACGCACGTCGACGTGGACCTGTCCATCTTCACGCACGACCCGGACCGCGTCGAGGAGGAGGAGGATCTGGACCGCGCGCCCTCGGACTGGGAGCTGAGGCTGTACGGCGCCGACTACCTCGGCATGGACCGCGACCTCGCCGCCGCCGCTTCTTTCCCCAGCAACGACGACGCGCCGCCACCACACAGCGCGTACGGCCACACCATCGGCTCGTTTCGCGAGTTCCCCGTCCTCGCGCACCTCGCCATCTCTATCCGCACGCTCCTCGGCAACAAGCGCATCCCGCTAGCCAGCGACGACGACGCGTCCGACGCGCCCGCCAGCCCCGAGCCCGCCAACGCGTCGTCGACCCTCGCCGCCATGCTCCCCGCTAGCCTCGAGTCCCTCACGCTGTACGGCTACGTCCGCGGCGACGATGCGTCGCTTGACGCGCAGGTCGACGACCTGATGCGCCGCAAGGGCGGGGCTGCGCTGCCGAAGCTGAGGGACGTGCGAGGCGTGGAGGAGACGGTAGAGGATATACAGATGATTTTCGGGGACAAGCCCGAGGAAGAGGAGGACCTGTGGCAGGGGCTGAAGAGGGATCTGAGCTGGAAAAAGGTCAGTGAGGAGGATAAAAAGGTCCAGGAGGATGAAGAGGATGAGGAAGATGACGAGAATTAAGAAGATAAATAGGATATGAACACTTACTTTTAAAATTACCGCTGCGCTCGGCCTTTTTCTTTTCCTCGCTTCGCTCGACGCGCGGCAGTGAGACGCCCATGTCTGGTGCACGAGGCAACCGTCGAGCGAAGCGAGGGGGGGGGTGGGGAGGAAGAAAAGCCTTTCTTCTGTACGTCTTCCTTTTTTTTTCTTTTTTTTTGCTCGCTTCGCTCAACGTGAGGCCGCCATTCCTCATCTACTCATCTCGCCCATCTTAGGCATGTTAGATATTCGTTCAAGGAGCATCAAGCTCGACCGAGAAACCATTCGCAGCAGGGTAAACTACATTACGCAGAATCCATTCTTCTTCACTGGGTCATAGTGCCAGAACTCATGCCTCGGAGGCGATGGCAGCGATGCACAGCTCAAAGCTACCTTTTCCCGAGCTCAAAGCTACCTTTTCCCGATGAACTCCAATGCATTGTTCCACCTGCCGAAACGTTTGCGGCTCTGATGGGATGGATAGTGGCCCAGTGTAGCTACTGCTGGTTATGTATCCATTCGCATCAGCTCATGAATAGCAAATTGTTACAGAAGCATTGTTAGACCTAGAAAAGGTCACTTATGGCCAGGAATGTATATGTAAGGATAGATGATTGTTATGCTAGGAATGGACCCACGTCGGCGTTCCCGATGGTGGCGGCCGAAGAGAGAACTGCCAGCGGCTCCCGCGCCAGCGAGACTACAGTGCTTGAAAAGATCCCTCCACAGTGGAACACAATATTAACCTTTATAAGTATTTAAACTATTAACTTTTTAATATTATTAAGCTAAACTATAAAAGCTATAATAATTAATAAGATTATATTTATAATAATAATTAATATAATATAAAAAAGTTATAAATTTATAAGATATAATTTTATTAAAGAATAATAATATAATAATATTAATAAATAGTATATATAACTTTAAATTATATTCTATATTATTTAAATATAGATATTAATATCCTAAAAATAATTATATATCCTCATAGTATATGTCTAGTATGTACCCTGATATAAGAATGTAAACCTATAGGCTGCCATACCAGACGGCAAAAAAAAAAAAAAAAGATTGGCAGAAAACCGCATTGGCTCTCACCACCTTGGACTTTCATACGACAACATCCATTACCCCCACTACGACAACCCGATTTCTGTACATACTTTATTCTCTGGATAACCTCGACGATTCTGCTTCAATTCTTCCTTTTGCCTGCTCGCCTAACTATACACCAAATCGCTATACCCGCAGCCTCTGCCCGTCATGGCCACTGAACCCCCCGCAAAGAAAAAGTGCCTGGGCGTCGAGTGCGACAATGACGCTGGCACCCTCCAGTGCCCGACGTGCCTCAAGCTCGGCAACAAGGACAGCTTCTTCTGCACCCAGGACTGCTTCAAGAAGAGTTGGGTACGTGCGCCGCAGATACTTCAATTCCCCCGCGTCGCCTGCTAACAACCCGTCCCCAGAGCACACACAAGGCCATGCACAAGTCTCAAAGTAATATCCTCCACCACCTGCTCGCCCCGAAAGCTATCTCACCAGATCCAGCAACGGGTTACTACAACCCCTTTCCGAGCTTCCCCTTTGCCGGCCCCCTCCGACCCGTCTACCCCCTCTCCGAGCACCGCACCGTGCCGCGCGCCATCCCCCACCCTGTCTGGTCCGAGGACGGCAACCCCAAGTACAGTCGCTCCCTCGCCAGCCGCACCAAGTTTGAGATTCTCGACGCAAAGGGCATAGAAGCCATGCGCAAGGTGTCGAAGCTCGCCCGCGAGGTCATTGACCTGGCCGCCGCCGCCGCCGTGCCCGGCGTCACCACCGACTACATTGACGAGATTGTACACAACGCCTGCGTCGAGCGCAAGGTGAGTTTTCGCACAAGTAATGATGATGGCGCCAAGGCTAGCTGGCAACTCGGGCGCTCTGCTTGCGCGCAAAGACACTGACAAGGCCTTTATTAGTCGTATCCCTCACCGCTCAACTACAACCACTTCCCCAAATCATGCTGCACGTCGGTCAACGAGGTCATCTGCCACGGCATCCCCGACAAGCGCGTCCTTATCGACGGCGACATCCTCAACATTGACGTCACCCTCTACCACGAGGGCTACCACGCCGACCTCAACGAGACGTACTACATTGGCGACCGCGCCAAGGCGGACCCGGACAATGTCCGCGTCGTCGAGGCTGCCCGCGAGTGCCTCGACGAGGCCATCAAGGCCGTCAAGCCCGGCGTTCAGATCCGCGAATTCGGCAACATCATCGAGCAGCACGCCAAGACGAGGGACTGCAGCGTCATCCGCACCTACTGCGGCCACGGCATCGGGAAGCTCTTCCACTGCCCGCCCAACGTGCCCCACTACGCCAAGAACAAGACCCCCGGCGAGTGCAAGGCCGGCATGACGTTTACCATTGAGCCCATGATCGCGCTGGGCAAGTACCGGGACATCACGTGGCCGGACAACTGGACGAGCACTACGATTGACGGCAAGCGCACAGCGCAGTTTGGTAAGAAGACCATGGTTTGCTAGGGGAAAATGTGGTGGTGTTGCTAACGTTGAACTTGCAGAGCAAACCCTCCTGGTAACAGAAGACGGCGTCGAGGTGCTGACGGCGAGAAACGAAAATTCCCCTGGCGGCCCGGCGCCGATGCCGACGGTGGCGTAACTGAGCACGGTCAATTATGATTTGAAGATAAAAGCTGTTGCATTGGGAAGCGAGGTGTTGGTGGCGTTGTAGATGAGCATAAATAGCGAGGCTCCAAGACGAGCGAGAAACGGCGAATGAACCAAGACGAAGACAGCACAACCATGTCTACTCTATTGAGTCTAAAAGGACTGCATGTAATATTTCATTGTTTGCTGCCTACCTGCGTGGGCTGGGGAGGGCCGAGGAGCTCTGTCGACACGACTTGCTGCAGTCCACGACTTGCTGCAGTCCACGACTTGCTGCAGTTGTCAGGCCTCCTGACCCGGACTTAATAACGATACGGACCTGGAAATTCTGAAAATACTCGAAACTCTGGAAACCTCGGAAACTCGAGAAACTCGGGAAACTCGAGAAACTCTGGAGACTCTGGAAACTCTGGAGACTCTGGAAACTCTGGAGACTCTGGAAACCATGGAGACTCTGGAGACTCTGGAGACTCTGAAAACCTCGGAACCTCTGGACGCTTCGGAATCTCTGGTCGCTTCGAAGTTTCTGGACACCTCGAAACCTCTGGACACTCCGAAACCCTGTCAAAGCCAGGAGCAGGCAAAGCACCCCGTGCAAAAGCCTCCACATGTCTATACAGAATTGGCGCCCACTTCACCTCGAGCTCCCGCGGCAACCCACAGCACGAGACTGGCTGCTCAACACCCGGTCCGGGCTCTTGTGGCCTGTACATACGATCGTTCAACTTCCCAACGCGCCGCAGCATCTGAATCATCCTGTCTGAATCACTGTTTTCATTCTCCGGGTCCAAGACGTACCGAATGTACCTGCTCGGCGAATACACGATGCCCTCCCGGTCCGTGTACGTGTAGCGCTCGTCTCGTTCGGCATCTCCTGCCACGTCGAGCGCGTCAAGCATGACCACCAACGCCTGGGATCCATTGTCAATGGCGAAATGGAGCACCGTCTTCCGCCGGTGGCGCCAGGACAGGTCCGTTTGCCGCGCGAGCAGCTCCATAGAGCGGTACCACCTGTTTTCAAAGCTGTCCTCGGCGTTGGCAACCTTGCACCACGGGCGGGTCTGGGCACGGCATGCGACGGCGAGTGGAATCAGGCCGTCGAACTCGTCGAGCGCGTGGTTCGCGCTGTGCCGCTTCATCAGCCACTGGACAAAGTTGGGCAGCGCGAGCATGGCGGCCGTGTGCAGCGAGCCATCGTTGGCGACATCCCCGCCGCGGAGGGCGCGAAAGGCGTCGAGGTTGCCGAGGTATAGCGCGGCATTGACGAGGGAGAGGTCCTGCTGCACAATGTCGGCTCGTCTTGGCTCTCTACAGTCTTGGGCGAGCCACGAAAATGATCGGCCTGGGATGGTGGAAACTGTGATGGCGCGCCCATGCTGCTTCATGAGGGCTACGAGGACCGGCGTTCGGCCCGGATCAAGCGTACAAACAAAGGCTGCCGATACTCTTGACTTATGTGTGTGGTATAAAGGGTCCGCTAAGAAATGTTAGTGTTGAAAGTGTCTGGAGAGCACGAGAAAAGGCTTGCCTTGTTCTCCTCGGGCGATCAGAGCCAGCAGTGTGCTGTTCGATACCCTCTTCTTTTGGAACAACGCCCACAGAAGAGGCGTGACTGATTCATATACCCACTCCCTACACAGTCTCCATTCCACCCGTGTCCCGGCCGGTACGCCATAGTCGAGCAACTTGTTCACTAGCCTGTCTCCCTCGGGGAACGTGGACAGTGCCTTGTACAGGACTGCTGGATCGATTATGTGTGCCGCAGTCGGCGCGAGTGTAGCCATGCATATGGGCAGGCACTTGAGGACTTGTTTCTCGCGCGGCAAGTACCTAAACAGAGCGCGGATAATATTATCTACCCCTTCCGAGGCTTCACAGAGGAGTCTGATGACGTCGGCGTTGCCTCGCTGCAACGCAATCTCGAAGATGGTTTGCCCGTCGCTGCTGACGGCTTCAATGGGGATCTTGTATCGGAGCATGTTTCTGATAAGCTGTAGACTGGGGCTCTCGGAACGGACTTCGCGGGCCAGTACCTCAATACGGTCCTCACTCGTGCCGGCGAAGACATCGGCTGCCTTCCCTCGTCTGCTGGCGTCGCCCATTGTTGATCGCAACGTACGGTTTTGGTAGGAGTTGCCTGTCGATGATTCACTCCTACCACCAAGTATAAGGGGATCACAACCAACGCAGAGGTGCCGAGAAGAGCGGCTCCTGGGGAGGTGACAAATTCACCATGGATGACGGTCACACAGCTTCCGTTCCGAAAGTGCAGAAAGAAATTAGTCCCGCCCCCAGAAAGCGCTCAGAAACACCGAAAGGAAAATGAGGCGTCGAGACACGGCGCGTAATGGGGTAGTCTGTATTGTACTCCCTCCCCACGACCTCGCCTCTCCTGACTTCGAAACACTTGGGCACTGGGGCGTGCATACATGATGGCCCAACATCTCGGCCAGTCCTACCTGCAGCCCGCTCCTTGATCGATATGTACGGCAGTCCACTCAAAGCACAGTACCATCGCGAGGTTTGGAGTAGACTTGGAGATAAATGCAAGAGGTCTATTTAAACTCTCAACGTTCATCAGCTCCTTATCTCTCCTTCTCCTTGGCCCTCGCGTTTGGCTTGGTTAGATCTTGGTGGCTGGGCGGAATGGTGGCAACAGCAAAAGTCCCGAAATCGGGGGACCAGTCCTCCGGTCGCAGATGCTATATTCGGACACGGCCACATAGTTTCTGGTGAGCCCATTTTCTCCATGTCATCTCGCCCCAAGCTCTCCACCCACAAGCGCTTGCTCTCTACATGTTTCCTGCCCCAAACTATGCAAGGGCTTGCACCTGCAGCATCCTTCTGACTGTAGCGCCAGGCAGCTGTCGAATGGGTTGCTTGTGGTACATCTAGACTTGGCGAAAGTCTCCTTCGACCGATGCAGACTATCTCGTTGAAACTCAATCACAGACCGGCCGAGAGGACTACAATGTCACCGAATCTCGCTACAGTATCGTGCTCTGCCGGACGCCCAAATGTTGCGCTTGGTGCAATTGACATTCTGCAAGCTGCGAAGCTCGAACTACTGATGATTACAAACTACGCGTGACGATAGTGTGGCGTTGAATCTCACCAACCTCGTCCCGAACGATTCTTGGCATCAGGAGACTTGGTCGCCTCCCACAGTTCAGTTCCAACCACCCGAGCTACCGTTTTATCCTCCTCCCGATGCTCCTTGCACACACTAGGGATATGTTCTCCCTGACTCACGTAGTAGAAGCTCGAAACATCAAACGTGTGCTTCGGCCCGGACGCCGCACAGGCGACCTGTACTCGAGTCGCCATGAGCTGCGGGAAACACTCGTCGCACCAATGACAGCCAGGGTAGGCGGGCGACTTACTCGCCGTCGCAACACGAATGATTCTGCGGCAGAGCTTGCTGGCGCAGCAGACGGTCGGATCCATGACCGGCCATAGTTGCCTGAAGGTATATTTGCCCGAAATGAGCATGTCCCCTTTGCTGAGGAGGCCCAACTTTCTGCAGGTCCGTTTACAGGTATGCGTGGAAAAGAAAAACTTGAAGCCGTTTGTGTGGAGGTTGGTGTCGCTCAGCTTGAAGCGCTCCACGTCGCTGGTCTGAATGGCCGGGTCAGTGAAGTAGTTGCCGCTGCCTTGCAGGTCCGTGACGAGGAGGTGGCCCCAGGAACGCTCAAAGGTAAAGTGCGAAAACGCCTGGGCAATCTCGTTGAACGGGTTATCGTCATCTATCAGCACGAACCCCCCATTGCTGTTGTACTTGACGTAGTCGCCCTCGATGAATCGCTCCAGCGACAAAAATCCCTTTGAAGTAGGCGATTTGTCCTCCAAGCAAACAGTCGTGACAAAGTCGATTGGCTTAGAGGACTTGACGAGACCGTTGAACTCGATCGCGAAGGCTTTGCAAAGTGCTTGCATGCGCATGTCCTCGATCAATTTAGCAGGCGACGCTTCCGGTTTTTTGAACGATTTGAGGACAAACCCGGTCGTCATAGCGGCAGGTTGGGCATACGTTGCCACACGAAGCGCTCCCTGATCGAATGGTTTGGAACGTGCGTGAATCTCCAGCTGCACCACCCCGAGTTTGATGTTGTTGTCACCCTCCATCATGGCCTGTAGAGTATCTGCCCCATGATTTGCCAGGTTCATGCAAATACCGTCGACGTAGAGGGACTGATCCAACCAACCGGGCGTGTTCCACCGTGGAGGGATCTTTTCAAGCACTGCAGTCTCGCTGGCGCGGGAGCCGGTGGCAGTTCTCTCTTCGGCAACGGCGGAGAGACCGGAGCCTCTGAAGCCACGGGGACGCGGGGGCGGGCCGCTGCCGCCGCCGCTGCCGCCGCCACCGCTGCCGCTCAGGGCGAGTGTGAGACGGGTGGCGGTGCGGGAGACGGACGAGGTGATTGTGCTGACGACAAGGTGGCGGAGCGCCTGGTACGTGATGCCGAGCTGCATCTCCTCAAACAGCGGCCCGGTGCCGGTCGCCGTCTTCTTGGCGCGGGACCTGGCCCGTAGGAGCGAGTCCGCGGCGGCGGTGTGGTAGGTGTTCTTTCTGGACAGCTTGACGTCGGCCCCCCCGTAGACTCGACTAAACTGGAGCGCCATTCTGTCGGTGGACGAGTTGATGCGGAGAAAGCAGTAGTTGACGTGCAGCTTGACCAGCTGCCCGAGCAGGCCGTCGTGGGTCAGGCCATGCGGCTCGCTTCCGGGATTCCAGTAGCTGTCGGCCTCTTCCGGTAAGTCGTGCAGCGTCTGGCCGTGCGCCGGCGCGTCGGCAATGTGCACGAGGCAGCGCGTCTGCTGCTTCCACGAGGCGTTGACGGCCTGCCGCAGCCCGCTCAGCACATCCTCCGGCATGTCGCTGCCGCCCCCCGCCGTCAGCCCGGACAAGAAGTTGCGGACCTCGGTCACCGAGGTCGTAAAGTCGAGAAACTCAATGTGCGGGTACTCGTAGTGATCCTTGTACCCGACCACGGCGATGCGGACATCCGACTCGCCGAGAAACGCCTCTTTGATGTCCTTGACAATCTGGCGCACCTGGTCCTTGGCCGCGTCAATGTACGGCTCCATCGAGCCGGTCGTGTCAATCAGGAAGAGCAGGTCCGTCGAGCACGAGGCCCGGAACAGGCCTTCGGTATCGCGCGGCGGAGCCGCCGCCTTGGCGCGCTCCACCTCGGTCAGGATCTTTGTGAGGCGGCTCTTCGTCTCGGCGGCCGAGAGGGGGGCGCGGCCGAGCGCCGGCCCGGTGGTGGTGGTGGATGGCGGCCTGGTCACAGAGGCAGATCTGCCGCTGTGGTACGGCGGCGGCTTCTCTGCGCTTGGGACGGCGGCGGCACGGGTGAGGGAGGCGCGGAGGAGCGAGTCCGCTGCGGACGGATCGCCGGTTGGAGGATTTTGAGAGCGGCGGAGGCTTGCCGAGGAGGGCGGCGCCGTGGGCGTTCTGAGGACGGAGGCGCGGAGGAGCGAGTCCGCTGCGGATGGACCGCCGGTTGGTGGGTTTCGGGAGCGGAGGAGGCTTGCGGAGGAGGGCGACGCCGTGGGCGTCCTGAGGACGGAGGCGCGGAGAAGCGAGTCCGCTGCGGATGGACCGCCGGTTGGTGGGTTTCGGGAGCGGAGGAGGCTGGCGGAGGATGGCGGCGCTGAGGGCGGCTTGCGGACAGAGCCGGGTCCTTCCGCAGAGGTGTTTGGTTTGGCCGTGAGGGACTGACGGAGGAGGTCGTCTGCGAGGCTGCCCAAGCCGGCCTGGCCGGCGAGCTCGGCGCGTGTGACCGATGCAGAGGGGTCGCGAGAAGGCTTCATCGTACCACTTTCTGTAGTTAGACTAAAGAAATTTGCAATGAAGAAACACAGAACTCAACACCAGTTCACGATGACAGGTGTCGGGGTCATATTAAGCACCTCCGCTCACCTCACTTTGGCCGGGTCCATTGGCGGTTCCCGATTCAGCAGTTGAGGCTGCAGGTTCCAATAATGTACGAGGTAATTTGTAGCATCAGACGCCTCATCTTGCCCAACGGATTGCCTTGGAGTCGGCGGCCATCAGTCTACACCGACGCCCCTGCATGAAAGCCCACCATTGCAGCCTCATCGGGCAACCTGGAGTCGTACCAACCTGGAGATGGCCGCTACCGGCCGGCGAGCGTAGACTATGGCGAGCGAATCGCCACAGCCAATAGATCCGCATCATCTGACCGTGATCAAAGACGCCACATCCTCCCGTATGAGCGGTTGTATACCGGCGCTGGCTACACTGCTGCGGCCTGCCTGGTTCCCGAGACAATAGGAGACGAAATACGGAAATAGTAGTATAGGCAGCGCAACGGTGCATAGGTATGTTTGCACTTGAGACATGCAGTCTTGCAAGACTGTCGCTCTGACGGAGGCGGCCAATCATTGGAGATGGCGCATCACACCTTTCTTCCTACGTCGCCAGCCGATGGCGCTTATCGGCCAAATATACGATGACAAGATGAATAATATGACATTAATAACTTACAATGGTGGCACATGCACGGCCCAAGCTGAGGCACGACTCCTATTGTGCCCCAATGTGGTGGACTCCATGATCACTTATTCCATCCTTTCTTATTCTTGAGCCATCTCAACTCCAGTCGTCTGCTTGCGTAACCATCACACCTCCGGACATGCAGCAGACAGAGTCACACCCGAGCGCCAGATCTCCCAGTCCAAATGTCTGCAATGCTTGTTTGGCCTGGCGGGAAAGTGTACCGCCGGTGCGACGGATCTTGATGCCTGCAAAATAGGCAGTCAACGAGCGTGAATTTGTATTACGATATGACAGTGGAAGAAGATGCCCTAGAAAATGTCCCCATGACATGATGGAGCTGAGGTCGTACGACAACGACCTTTGGCCCGGCGCCTGGCTGCAGCAAAACCCAACTGAAAGAGACATGGCGCCTAATCGCCCCCTTTCTCAGTGGCGGAGCGAATTGTTTCACAGATATTGTAGGGGCAGGCAGTCTAGTCCCGTATTATGCAGATGCATGCAATATAGACGCATGCGATGCGGAAGCATATAGTGAAAGAAAGCATATTTGTCCACCCCGCAGATGACATGGAACGAACTCCTTTCAACCCACAGGAACCTAGGAGGCCGCAGAAAATGGACGAAAAGCTCCGCCAAGTTTGATTTCTGGGCGGGGTTTTCTTCCCATCCATGAGTTAGCCTTTCAAAATACTATATGCAGAATACTACAAGTAGATCACGACAGCCTTGTGATACAGTACATACGCAGGTTGTGCAATCTTGCTAATCCAGGGCCGGTCGACTATCAGCAGGCGATTTAGCGTCACTGCAATTCATGAATGTACAACGGAAATTGAACAATTGGGGATAGTGGCTGCTGGCTTTTTAGACGACACCACCAAGTCTGTTGCTCCAGATATAACTGCATGTGCCACGGTCATGGTAAACCCGTCACTCATGTTGCATAGATGCTGCACAGGTATTTTTCCAATTTGTTCAGTTGCTGCATGTGGTGGGACTGTACCATGTGCCAGCAGCAGAGATGGCGACATGCCGGTTATGTGAGACTGGCTCTTGTTACGAGCTGCCGGGGCAAGCCGAGACAGTCAGCCGGTACTCCAAGACCTGAAAATTGCCTCGTTGCAAGTTCAATTAAGCTCTCTTACTGAAACTAGTTACAGCTTCAAATTAAAGTAGTTTAGTCTTGTGTAACCATAAATGTACCAACCGACAAACAAGTCGACGAGCATCACGTGTCGTCTGAGTTGGGATCCTTCCGCGGGGCACGCCAATGGCCGCCCTCGAATCTGCATCAACATGTCCGTTTGGCAAGCCGAACAATGCAATAGAGCAGCCTGTGGAAAGTAAGAGTGAGGCGACGGGTGGTCATGGACGAGCTGCTCAACCGACTCAAGAGGAACAACTTACACCCGCCAACTTCCGAGAGCAATGCCAAAGGACGCTCACGCGCTCAAGGCATTGCCCTCGTCGCCGCCGTCAGCGGAGCAGGCTTCTTGAATGTGAGACCCCCGCGCCTGGAGCTTGCTCTTCTGCACTTGTTGACGTTATTTTGGCTGGCCAAAAAGACCTTTTCTAGCCAAGCGGCCGTCATTACACTGCCGACAATCTCAACAGACTTGGAGATCCCGTCTGGTCGCCAGCAGCTGGTCGTCTCCGTCTACGGACTCGCGTTTGGCTGCTTCCTCCTCGTTTGGGGGCGGCTGGCCGACCTGTTCAGCAAGAGGGCTATTTTCGTCGCGGGCAGCGTTTGGGTGACGCTGAGCACGACGGTCACGCCGTTTGCCGCCAACGAGGGTGCTTTTCACGCCTTCAGAGCCCTGCAGGGAATTGTACTTTGTCTCTTGGGATCCTGATGCAGCACCCTGGCCAGTTCTAATCTCTGGATCCCTAGGGAGCAGCGACCAACGTCCCGACTGCAATTGGAGTCCTCGGCACAATGTTTTCCCAGAGGAAAGGCGAGACTATACGCCTTTGCGTTCTACTGTCGGTTACCCTTCTTTTCGGTTTATTCGCAGTACCTAACATACCTGTTTAGCTGCGGCCACTCCACTGGGAAGTGTGATTGGTAACATTCTCTCGGGCTTCGTCGCATCGTCTACCAGCTGGAAATGGGTATTTGGTGTCCTCGCGATTCTGGCCGCCTGCATCAGCGTGGCAGGCTCTTTGACTATCCCACCTCACCGGGCTCCAGAGACCCCTACCACTATCCGATTGCGCGACCAACTCGACCTCCCGGGCGCCTTTCTTTCCACGTTTGGGCTCGGCATCCTGCTCGTTGTCCTAAGTACCGGCAACGAGGTGGGATGGGCGACACCATGGGTGCCTCCTCTCATCGTCGTGGGAGTTGCGCTGGTTACCGTCTTCATTTTCTGGGAACGCCGCCTGGAAGCCGGGAATCACTGCCCACCCCTCCTGCGCGTGTCGCTCTTTCAAAGTCGCGAGTTTTCCATCTCCATGGCTGTCATGTGCATGCTCTTTTCCTCATTCAACGGCTTTCTCGTCTACGCAACCATGTTCTTTCAGGACTACCAATGTGTGTCAATCGCAAGAACTTGCCAATGCCACCGGGCTGTCTCGCCCTGTCACTGTCTTCACAAAGCGCTCAAATTGCTCGCGCTTTTCGGATCCTTCTTTTTGACACACAAAAAGGGAATATAATTACATCACTAGAATACAGAGTGCACGTTTTCCCCCAAAATTCTGCACCATATTCCTGTATCTGCAGTCTATATTACCCCGCACATATCTGTATGTGGTGGCACGATCAGAAGCCAAAGCATCCTTTCTCCAATTTCGCACGTCGGATTTTCAAGTCACTACCTCTCAATCAGTTTTTTGAAACGCTGCCGCCCTTCAGCCTCCACCAGTGAGTGACCTCGGGCGAGACCCCGACAAAAAGCCGCTGATCAGTGTCGCAGCATTTTTAAAACTATCATCCACTCGGTCGGAGAGGTGCAAGTTCTACCGCGTCGGTGACGTCGGATCGCTGAACATCTAAAGAAATATGGTTATGGAAAAGGGAGTTCATGATGTTCCCTTTGACGAGCTACCCGATCGCCGACGGGTATGGAACCGACCTGTTCATTCGAAAGAGGAAGGCCTCGGTCGTCTTGTGCTTCTCACACCTGATGTGGTGGCATCGGCTGCGTCGTGTATCAAGACTGGCAGGAGAATAGCCCTTAATTGGGACTTGAACAAGCTCGAAGTCGCCAACTTTAATCGTCAGCCCACACAGCACCACATCGTCTCTCTACTGGATGGATCAGCCTTTGATGACGTCTACATCTTCAACCCGCAGCAGTCCTCCCAGTGGGACGGATTACGGCACTTTAGCGCGCCGTTTCCCACAAGCGAGGATCCTACGCGCCGATTATACTACGGTGGTGTGACTGCCAGTGAGATTACGACCCGCAGCAACACGCGCATCGGCATGCAATACTGGGCTCGTGAAGGCATCTGCGGCAGGGGCGTGCTGCTCGATTATGCCGCTTTCGCAGAGCGGCACGGCATCGAGTATTCGGCCTTTTCCGACCACGCAGTTCCTCTGTCCGTCCTCCTGGAGATTGCTCATGACGAAAACGTGACGCTAAAACGGGGCGACATTGTCTTCATCCGAATCGGCGTCACGAGGGAGTGGGACGAGAAGATGACGGCCGCGGACAAGCAAGCATACGCGACGACCAGGAGCCCGCAGCACGCAGGTGTCGAGGGCACGGAAGAAATGCTGCGCTGGATATGGAACGAGGGCATTGCCGCGGTGGCGAGCGACGCACTCTCGTTTGAGGTGTACCCGGCGAAGAAGTCTTACCCGAGAGGGACTGGTGAGGACGTTGAGGGCTACTTTCTGCATGAGTACTTGCTTGCAGGTTGGGGGATGCCTATTGGAGAGCTGTTTGATCTGGAGGGGCTGAGTAGAATCTGCGCCGAGGAAAGGCGATGGGAATTCTTCGTGGCGAGCGCTCCTTTGAATATGCCTGGCGGAGTGAGTAGTCCGCCAAACTGCGTGGCTATCCTCTAGGCCGGCCTGCGAAGTCGGCTAATCTAGATTGCGTTTATCCAATCTAGATGGTGTTTCGTGTAATTCGCAGACTGTTTCACGTCCCTCACGAGAAAGCAAGGCTCAAGTGCAGAGGGAAACCAGTGGCGCTGGACAGTCCATCTCCCTGACTCGGGCAGTCGAACGCTACTGGCACAAGGCTAGACTGGGAGAAACTTTTTGGGGGGGACTGTCGGGGAGATCTGCTGGCCGGTGTCATCACATGGTCATGGATAGAGGAGTGGAAACATGCCCAAGCCACGCATTCCTGGGCTTTGGCGAACTGAAGCGTGTTTGGATGGTGCAACCAGGCGACAGCGGCAACGGGTTGTTGCTACGAATCCTTTTCCTGCAATAGCCCAACAGTCGCTGAAGACCACAGCTGTCGTTAACTGTAGTACCCTACCCTGGGGCTACCTAGAGCTTCAAATATTTCCGTTTAAGCTACTAAGAGTGCTCTAAAACTGGTATTAGTATAATTGTTAGAGCGTAAACTATATAAAAATTCTCTAACTAATTTCTAACAATAAATTAGTTTTTATTCAATGTTTAAAATATTTTATATATCTCTTGCAAATTCTCTTCATTATGATATCCATCTTTCCGTTTGCAACGTTTTAGTAACTGACGGTTTCAAGCGTGATTAAGTAATACCTGAATGAGTAGGTAGCTTGGGTAGGTAGGTACATAGATACCCCTTTTAGTGCCGTTTTACCGTTTAGTTTCCTATTTGTTAGGGCCTGCCTGTCCTGTCCGTTGGTGTCGTTGGCCCTCGCCATCGCCGCAGGCAAAAAATCGCCATCGCATCCACTCTTCCTTCAACCTCCTGCCCTCCCCACCCAACCCGTCCGTCTTGACAACCAGCCCCCAACCTCGACTTCCTCCTCCTCCTCTCACCTTCAGCGACTCCGTCCAATTTCTCACCACCAGCGGCGCGCACCCCTGTGTAACCTGTCAAGCTCCAGCATAGACGGATCTTCAAGTAAAGACCCCCCAAATCTCTCTCGCTAGCTTCATCTCGTCATCAGCGGTCGCACATCTCCGTTCCCGCCATAGCTCCGACTAACGCGTCCGCCCTCCCCGACAGCTAGGCAATCCTCTGACGACGACCATCGGCCTCCCCTTTCTCGCTATAGCAATCCCGAACAAAAGCTCTTCTAGCAACTTCTATACGCACCCCACAACTCCCTGCAAAAACCTTGTCAGAATGATGTCCGGCGAAGCATGGCTGTTCCTGTTGTCAGTGTTGATCAACGCCGTCAACCTGTTCCTGCAGGTCTTCTTCACTATCATGTACAGTGATTTGGAGTGGTATGTTACCTTCTGACAGCTTCATTGGCCTCGGCCTCTAGCGCGATAAGCTGTTGCCGCCGGTCAGCTCCTAGGTTTCCAGCTAACGCATCTCTAATCTAGCGACTACATCAACCCTATCGACCTCTGCAACCGACTTAACACCTACATTATCCCCGAAGCCGCTGTCCACGGCTTCCTCACCTTCCTGTTCCTTATCAACGGTTACTGGCTGCCTTTGATTCTCAACCTGCCTCTCCTCGCTTGGAACATCAAGAAGTAAGCTTTGCCTGTGCTGCAATTTGGCGCAATTCCACGACCACGGCTGACGCGCTCTACTAGGATCGTCGACAACACCCATCTGCTCGACGCCACCGAGATCTTCCGCAAGCTCAACGTACACAAAAAGGTGCTTAATATCCCTCTGAATTCGCCGTTGGCACGCAAGCTAACTCGACAATAGGAATCCTTCATCAAGCTCGCCTTCCACCTGCTCATGTTCTTCTTCTACCTCTACAGCATGATTGTTGCTCTGATCCGCGACGAGGCCGCATAAACGCTCTACGAGCCCTCCACAACCGATCGGGACACCTTGTGATGATATCCGGGAAGGCGACACCAGCCTCTCCATGCGCGGTCAGCCCTGGTTTTTTCTTTATGAACAGGCGCGCGATTAATTTTTGACTTCCTCGTGGTTTGCTCTTGTGGGGTCAAGGCATAATGAAATGATGCTGAGACGGAATAGAATGAGTTTGCAAGGTTTATGGGCTTGGGATATATTACTTGGCTTTGGCACAGGCTATCAATCGGCGTTTATAGCCGATTCTGTAGAGTAAGCGTTGGCTCTGAGGGGAAGCTCTTGGGAAGAGCCCTTGGCGGCTTTTCTTCGACAACCGTCGCACGGGTTACCTGATTTCGCAACACCACTTAATAAGATACCATTCACCACATATCTCTTTTTTTTTCTTGTAGGACGGCTTTAGAGTGCATATAATGGGCAAGAAGCCGCATGACAGCCCAAAAAAAGTGGGTCACGTGATCGATCGCAAGCTCAACTTTGTAAATACCTATCGCTCTTCTTTCAAACCATCGTCCTGCACACTCTTCTTGGCAGCGTGGAAAGTCGCCGTTTTTCCCCTCGCCAAATCAACCATGGCGGACTTTGGTGAATACCCGCCTAATATGGCGCCCCAGGATGCACTGGTCGTGCGAGAGCAAGCCGGACCTGACCACGCCGTGGTGAAATATTCCGCCGAGGACATCTCCAGGCCTAAAGCTGGCCCAGTAAATCCCTTCAAGGAGGTAACGACGGCTGTTGCGAAGCGCAAGAAAGTCCTGACCGGCACAGCGGAGGAGACGTTTATCTCCGAGCACACCTTCCGCAGCAAACATAGGGCGATTGAGCGACGAGGCGGCCCGGAGCGCGAGTACCAGACAGTAGCCCAGCGCAAGCAGGCAGATGCCCAAGTACGCGCCTCGCGCGAGAGCAAAGGCAGCGCAACAATAGCCGAAGGCCCAGGAAGCTATGTCGGTCCCTGGGCGCGGTACAAACAGACCGAATACGAAGTCGTCGACGAGAATGAGCCGCTGGCGAGCGACGAAGAGTACGAGATTGTCGAGGAGGAGGAACAAGAGGACGTGGTGGAGAGCGGCACAGTCCTAAAGGCTCCCGAGGTTTCCATTGCGCGGCGCAAGGTCGCCGAGGAATTGGGCGACGAAACAACAACGTTCAACGGCACGCAGGAGCACGACTACCAGGGCCGGACGTACATGCACGTGCCGCAAGATCTGGACATTGACTTGCGCAAGGAGGCCGGCAGCACCACCAACTTTATCCCGAAGAAGCAGGTGCACGTCTGGCGGGACCACGGCGGCGCTGTTACGGCGCTGCGCTTCATCCCGGCGTCGGGCCACCTGCTGCTGTCGGGCGGCGCGGACACGACGGTGCGCATTCGCGACATGTACCACGACCGGGAGCTGCTGCGCACGTACGCGGGGCATAGCAAGGCGATTTCCAGTCTCAGCTTCAACCGCGACGGCACGCAATTCCTGTCGGCGTCGTACGACCGCATGATGAAGCTCTGGGACACGGAAACGGGTGCGTGCCTGGGCAAATTTACGACGGGCAAGACACCGCACGTGGTCGAGTTCAACCCGGACCCGACGCACAGCCACGAATTTCTCGCGGGCATGTCGGACAAGAAGATTGTCCAGTACGACGTGCGCGCCCCGCCGACGGAGATTGTGCAAGAGTACGACCACCACCTCGCTGCTATCAATACGATTGTGTTTGTGGACCAGAACCGGCGCTTCATGACGACGTCGGACGACAAGTCGCTGCGCGCGTGGGACTACAACATCCCGGTGCCGATCAAGTACATTGCCGAGCCTGACATGTACCCGATGACGCGCGCGGCGGCGCACCCGGGCGGCAAGTACGTGGCGTACCAGAGCTCGGACAACCAGATCCTCGTGTTTGGCGCGACGGACAAGTTCCGGCAGAACAGGAAGAAGAGCTACCGCGGGCACCACAATGCGGGGCTGGGCATCGACCTCGACTGCAGCCCGGACGGCCAATTCCTGGCGTCGGGCGACTCGGCGGGCTACGTCTGCTTCTGGGACTGGAAGACGTGCAAGATGTACCACAAGATCAAGGCGGGCCACCAGGCTGTGACGTGCGTCAAGTGGCACCCGCAGGAGACGAGCAAGGTCGTCACGGCGGGCCTGGACGGCGAGATCAAGTATTGGGATTAAAGGTGGAGGAAGGGAGAATGGACGATTTTAGCATTTGCCTGGTGTTTGTGGCGTTTCATCTGTTTTCTTTTTGGTCTTGGGAGGGAAAGATGAACTTTGTACGTGATAGACGGATGTGGCTGCTTCAGCCGTGCTAATATATATTTATACAAATTGGACACAGCGCCAATACCACACTGTCTGATAGCCGTCCATGTTTGTTTGCATCTGTTTGTCCGCAGTGCTCTCAGTATTGACTCATTCGGTCAAAACAAACTGCACACCGCCCCTGCGACATTGACGAACGCCACGTCCAGAAACTCACACAAGTTGCCACTCAGTGTCTTCAAGGTCAATACATTTACTTTTCCTCGGTCCGTATCTCCATGTCCCTCTTCCAAACTTGAATGCAATCGCCGCCCAGAGTCGTAAGACATCAGGCGCGCCGTACCCACCTCAGTGGTCGACCATGCCAAGCACAGACTAGAGAGCAACAAGCCAAACCAAACACATCACGCCAACGCTTGTCTCTTTCAACTCTCTCTTGTCATCAATTATTGCTTTTTTTTTTCGATCCGCCTACTCAAAACTCCCTGTTTGCGTCATGAGGCATCATTCGGCAGCCTGGGCGCTCCTCGCCCAGACGGTCATGGGGTTCTCGGCGTACGACTACAACACGCCGGGCGCGGCGCAGGTGCGCTTCTGGCTCAACCGCGACGATGTAGACGACGGGGCCGTGACGCAGATGCCATTCCTCACGGGCACCGGCTTTGCCACGCTACCTGTCACAGACTGCTTTCGGGATGATGACTCGGAGGAGTCGCGCTACGACATTGCCATTCTCGGCGCGCCGCACGATACGGTCCGTGTAGTGCCGCGCCGTTGACTACTCATCAAGTATGGTACTGACAAGTCATTTCTAGACAACCACGGGCCGTCCGGGTGCCCGGTTCGGCCCTCCTGCCATCCGGCTCGGCAGCAACCAAAAGACGTACGGACTAAGCGTCTACACCCGTATGTCGAGTTAACTACCGCATCGCAGCCGGTGTGTGTCTAATCAAGGGTGTTATGTAGGACGCGATGCCTTGAGGGACTGGGCTACGATTGTCGACTGCGGAGATGCCAAGATGACGTGGCTGGACAACCGGTATGCGCTCAAGACGCTGGAGCAGGCGCACAGGAAGATTTCGGGGCGGCCGGCCCGGAGCAGCAACACGTCGAGCGTGCCGCGCATCATTACCCTGGGCGGCGATCACACGACGACACTGGCCGCACTGCGGGTGACGGAGAAGCATTGGGGCCCGGTGTCGGTGATTCATTTCGACAGCCACATTGATACCTGGGATCCCTCACAGCTGGGTAAGCGATACTGGGTATAACACACTTGTTCTCCAACTCATGATTCATTTCAAAAATCAGGTGGCGGCATCTCTGATTATGCGCAAGTCTACCCTACCCCCCACTGTGTCTAGCAACAAACGGGAAGGCTAACCCAGCAGCAGCGCCTTGAACCACGGCACATTTCTGCATTTCGCCCATGAAGAGGTGGCTATGCCCACACCAACGGATTTTTGTCCTGCATCGTTTGCTGACCCCCCCCCCAGAAATTGATCCTCGACTCGTCCATCCACGCTGGCATCCGCGCCCAGGTCGTCAACCAGGGCGACATGCGCCACGACAAGGACTGCGGCTTCCACATCATCACGGCGCGCGATCTTGACCTGATTGGCGTCCAGGGCGTCATTGACCGTCTCCGCGCACGCGTCAACAACACGCGCGTCTACATTAGCATCGACATTGATGTGCTCGATCCCGCCTTTGCCCCAGGTACGTGCGGGCGCACCAGGACCGCAACGACCCAATGGTTTGCTGACAAGGGAGCAAAAGCGACCGGAACGCCCGAGACCGGAGGATGGTCCTCGCGTGAGCTCCTCACCATTTTGGCTGGCTTGGAAGGGCTGGAGATTATCGGGGGCGATGTCGTCGAGGTGGCGCCGCCGTATGATAACAACGCAGCCACGACGGCGCTGGCAGCTGCCGAGGCCGCCTTTGCTCTCCTGGAGCTCATGGTGGCTACGCCTGTCAAGGTGTAGTTGTAAAGTTGTCCAGCATCACACGTTCCACCATGTATTGCCGTGCTTGTCCCAGTATGTTCCGGCAGACGCGGTCTCTCCCCAGCGCAGGCAGGTACAATGTAGGGGAGACCCAGCGGAGCACCTTCCTTCAACTTTCTTGCACAACAAGCGAAACCACGTCAGTGCCCAAGTCCAATAGGCGTGATACCTTCTACAAGTTTCATCCTTCTATCCTGTATTCTCTGCTCTCATCACTTCAGCATCCACGTCTGCAAACATGTACTATATGTATACGCCCCCACCGCGACGGCTACGCGAACGTCACACAAGGCAAAACTTGCTGCGCGCTGCCTACGCTCAAAGTACTCAAAGTACTCAAAGTAGCAGATCAGGTAAATGTAGCCGCTTCCTGTCTCTTATCTACTATTGCACTACTGACAGCGCAGTAAATCGAGGTAACCGCCGTCTCTCTCGCACCCATACCCACGATGGCGCTGCCGATGAGGAGAACAACGCTCCAGACCAAGGTAGCCACCTCCTCAGCCACCTCCTCGGCCGTAGAACGAAGAGCGGCCGGCCTGCCTCCCTGGAAATTCTCCAGTGGTGGGCCGACGAGTACAAGTCGGCCGTCATCTGCGGGCTCAGCATCGCCATCCTCTCCGTCGTGCTGTGGTACTACGACGGCAAGCTCGTGCCCCGCTTGTCGCCCGGCCTCGATTTGGAGATGGTAGTGATTGCGCTCGTCACCGTGGCTCGCGTCGCCATGGGCAATGTCGTCGAGGCCTGCCTTTCTCAGTGCGCATGGATCTGGATCGCCAAGTCGCACCAGCGCCGCACCAAGACGGTAGCCCGCCTCGAGGACTTTAAACTCTTTGATGAGGCCTCGCGCGGGTTTCTCGGAAGCGTAGCCCTCATGTGGCGTATGAAGGGGCTGTACGTTGTCGCGCTCTGCTTTTTGTTCCTCATTCTGGCCTCTGCTGACCTTCTCCTGACCTTGGTAGGCATCTGTCTTGCATCGGTGCTGCCATCATCATTTTCACACACGGCTTTGAGACCTTTTCGCAGCAAATGGTGCACTACGTTGCCAGGCCCATCGTGTTCAGGAATGAAACGGAGCGATCGGCGCCGGCGAATTACCGCAGCGAATACTGGGACAATGTTGAGCAGCGCGATGAGAGCACAAGTATTTTGGCTCGACCCTACCTCTACTCGTTGCTTGCTAACTTTGCGCAGGTTTTACTCTTCAACTCTCAACAAAAGCAGCCATTTACACAGGAATCATTGCAGACGAGATCCCAGTTTTGATGCCTGCTTGTTCTACTGGGAACTGCAGTTGGCCTATATTTCCTTCGTTGGCTGTATGTGGCGAGTGCACACCGAAAAGTGTCATGACTGAGTGTAATGGACAAGGCTGTACATACTCGGTTTCTCCCAGTACCTCAGTCATAGTCTTGCATGGCGATGGGAACGAGGCTTTCAGGGCGCGACCAATCAAGGAGCACCAATCGCTAAAAGACCAGGGCAACACGGCATATCTGTCGGTATTTGAGGTAGTGGCAGCCTCCGACTTCCAGTCTAAAACGAACTCGACAGCATTCGAGTGTGCTCTATGGGCCTGTATGAAAGCATACGATACATCCATGAACGATGGCCATCTCACCCAAAATGTCATCGCTCTGTGGAATGAAACCCAGATAGAGGTGGAAACAAACGCTCACCTGGAGGAACATGTTTTTGTCAATGTTCCAAAGGAAATGAACACACTTCAGCGCTCAAGGCATGCCATCTCGACCAGAGCAGTTCAGACAATTCGCAGGTTCATGGATAACTTAACAGACGGATGGTACGAGGACAACGCGGGCAGAGTCAATTTCTCTTCCGATTGGGCCGAAGCGATACATGATGGAGTACCAGCCATGTCCGACTGGATGGAACAGCTAACTCTCAGCTTGAGCAATGAGTTTCGGCGGCATGGGAGGATGGGAGACGACCACAGCACAAGATACGAGGGCAGCGCCACCAAGCTGGCCAACTTCGTCAAGGTGAAGTGGCTCTGGATGATATACCCACCCCTGTGCTTGACCATTAGCATATACTACCTCTTTGCCACGATTTTGGCCAGCGTCCGCGACAACGTTGCGGTTTGGAAGGGCGATTCAATGCCGATGCTCTTTAGCTGCATTCACCCCGATATTCTGCAACTCGGAGCTAGCAAAATGGATACACACAAGGGACTGGATGAGCTGGGGCGCCATGGTATCGCGCTGGAGAAGGCAGAGTCGGGCGCTTGGGTGTTTGAGCCTACCGTTGGGCCGGAAGATCCGCGTGGCCGCATGCAGAGGGTATTTCGATGGCGAGACTGACTGACCTACCTTACCTGTGCGAGACTCAACATTACATGGACTCGACCCGTTTTGTGTGGGATTAACACCTAGAAGTCGGTAAATGAAAGAAGTAGCAAGTAGTATTAATTATTATTATATCTAGCCAAAAGTACCTCAGTATTAGCAACCCCAAATCCAAACTGTCCTATTTTCTAGCCAAAACAATATCCAAGAACATCACCACTTGACTGCGAAACTGTCTAATTCCTGCTCACTCAGACCCTCGCACGCGCCGCACGTGCACCGAAACCCGTACCAGTGGTACAACAACGCCGGTGTCTTGCCCCTCCCATAACAGAGCTTGAGCTCTTCCCCCTCGGCCACCTCTGCAGCCACCCACAGGCACAAGCGCCGGCGGCTCGCATCATACGCGTAGTGCACATTGTCGGCCCCCGTGCAAGCGTGATTAAAGCGGGCAGCAATGGGAAACAGACCTGCCTCGTGGTGTCTACCCGTTGAGAAGCTACAAATATCCCATCAGCCACATCCAAGGGGCTCTCTCTCTCTCGCGGAAAACAAAAAAAAACAACGAGGGAGGGGAAAGCCGAAGAAAAAAAGAAAAGAAAATTCTAAAAAAAAAACTCGTCGTACCTGTTGGTGTCCCAAATCGCTTCCAGCCAGTCGGTGCCCAGCTTAAAGTGGTCGCTCGCGTGCAGCCGGAGGGCCTTTTGCTGCCTCTTGCGGCGCAGCCTGGCAAAGGCGGCAAAGAGGCGCGGCCGGGCGGCGACGACCAGCAGCGGCGTCTCTTCGAGGAGCAGCTCGCCCGGCGCGAGCGCGCGCGTGGCAAAGGCCCCCAGACCGCCCGTCGCCGACGGCTGCACGACAAAGGGCTTGCCTGCTGCTGTGGGGGGTGGTGGTGGTGGTGTCTTGATGGGGGGGAGGGCGGCGGCAGTCGTGTCCATGTTGTTTGTGTGTGTGTGTGTGAGAAGAGAGGGGGGGATGAGGAACAGGGTGGTGTTATCTTGGGGGAGGGGGGTTGTGTAAATGTGTAAATGCTGGACGCTGAAGCGGCAAGTAAGTGAGCGACGACGACAGATGATGAGCAGCGCAAAGGTACAACAAGTTGGGGGAAAGAGCAAAGGAATGGGGTAAAGGAATAAAGACGTCAAGAGGCAGATGTATAAACTAGGTAGACTTGAAACGTAAAAGGAATTGAGATGATATGTGTTGGTCAAGGAGCCAATTCTGCCCGTCTACTTTAGGAATCACCAGCCGGCACATCAACTCGTGGAAACAAGTTTTTCATTTTTATCGTACATGTTTTCCATCTACCCAATGCACCTCAGACTATTTTGACAAGATGGTCCTGAAAACAAGCAACTCCAACTCCCCCGTAAACGCCATATCTGTACAGTTCTCGCCAGTGTATACTACCCAACCCATGCAGAAAACCAACCATATTGAGACCCAGATAAGCAGCTTTCCAGAAGCTTGCCACTCTCGTTGATATCATTTTTTTGTTCAAAGTAACCCTTTCCCAGTATTTTCTATGACCGCCCGGCTGATAATGTTGACAATTTAAAAAGATGAAACAATGTTAATTCGAAAATGCAACAACGCTCCTTATACAAGTCCATAAGACCCCAAAATAATGTGTCAGGATAGTGCGCTCGTCAAAAGCCAAACTTCTTCTTAGGTCGCAGAGGGCAGTCTGCGCGGCAGTCGGGGCATCGCAGGCAGCCCGGCTTGGCCCAGATCCGTCGGCACTTGCACACCCAAAGATCGCGGCCGGTGCGAGTAGTGAGACAGTCAAAGGGAGCATGGAGGCCCTCGCGAACACCACACTCGATGCAGAAGCGCCGGAGAGCGATTTGTCGGTCTCGGCCAGGCTGAGGGTCGCGATCAGTCACCAGGCGGCCGTGGTGGTCGACATAGGCATGCTGCGGCTGCAACATGTCAAAGTGCTCCGGAGAGCGGACTCGGAAGCATACGTAGCACTCAAAGTTTCCTGGCTTATAGTCGTGACCCTTTTCGCTGGGTCGGTGCTGAGGAAAGTCCTTGGCAGCTCTCATGACAAACTGAGACTTGTCATCTGTGTCGGACATGCTTCGGGGGTCAATGGTCTGATTGAAATATCGGTTCACGGTGGACAGATGAATAAGGGACTGGTAGTCCAAGTCATTATAGACTTTATTTTGAACATCGTTGGGCAGACGCTCAATGCCCGAGGGCAGGGCCGAGCCTGACGGTGACTGGGGCGAAGGCATGTGGTACGGCTGCGATTGTCGGAGTTGAGGAGGTGAGACGACGTGTTGCGAGTGTTGGCGCGAGTGCTGACGTGAATAACTTGCGTGATGGTGATGTTGCTGAGGCTGGTATTGCTGCTGGGGCTGCTGGTGATAGTGGTGCGGGCTCGGTTGTTGTTGATACAGTTGATGAGGATGTTGTTGTTGCTGATAGTGAGATGCCGGGCTGTAGTGATGAGAGTGTTGCCTTTGGTAGGAGTCATGAACAGACTCGGGACTGGGATAATCGGTAACTGAAGCGTTGGATCCTCGGTATTTGTGAGCGCGAGGAGGCGTAGGCAAGGCAGTCATGGTCGAGGATGACATTGGGGGGAGCGGGAGAGGTAGTGATGGGCGGGTTAATCTCGATGATTTATGTAAGATGGAGGTGGTGTAGAGGTGGTGGAAGATGATCCGCGTTTATGGGTGTCGTGCATGCGAACCTGCAGGCAAGGTCTCGAAACTCGATGTAATGTTTCTAAATCGAGATGGTGGGCAATGGGGTGGCTGATGGGTGTATGGTGGCGCCGAGGAGTGAGTTGGCGCAGAGCAAGAGAAGCGAAAGCGGGAGAGAGAGAGAGAGAAGACGGAGAGCAATAGGAGAGAGAAGGGCAGGATATGAGAGAATAAGTAAGGAAATAGGTAAAAATGAAGTATACAAGTAGTGAGTGGTGGATTGTGTCTGATACAGGGCGTGTTTTCCGTGTCCACCAGAAACGTAACTGGATCGGAGGCGAATCTGGACTTTTTTAACTAGTATTAGCAGCAGCACATGGGCGGCCTGCAGCCAGGAGTCGAGGAGCAAAGAGACTGATATGCTAGTTAATACTGGTCGGGCTAAGAGTCGCGACTAATAAGACGACGACTGGATGGGCCAAAATCTGGGGTGGACACGGGTTCAAAGACAGGGAGGGTGTGTAGGAGTCGGGCGGCGGCATAGCAGGGTGCTTGATACCGAGGCGCGGCAACGCGCAATGTGAGAGAGCGTGTGTGGCATGGGGCGCATGGGCGCATGGGGCGCATGGATGAGCAGGGGCGTGACGGAATAAGACATTGAGCCAGTCGAGACGGTGGTTGCTGCATGGTCCAATGGCCGTTTCTGACGACCAGAGACGAGAGCGAGAGAGACGAGGGCGGGCGTGTTTGTAGAGAGAGGGGACCCCTCAACCGTGTCAAAAGTCTGGAGCCGGCCGTGAGCAAATCAAGCAAGAGGAAAATAACAAACAGCATATTGACCATTATTCTGGGTATCACCGTATCGAATTCCCTTTTCCCGATCCTTGTTTTATTTTTTGCGTGCCACAGACTGCACATGTTTCTGGCATGTTTCATCGGAGGGTGAGACACGTCCTCCAGCTAGGCGTGCTGGGACAGGTCTGGCATGCTGCCCTTGACGAGAGGGACATGCTTTTTTTTTGGTCTCTATTAAAATAGACCCATGGCTTTATTTGCATCGACAGAGGCTGTGGATCCCGGGACTTGAGAAGAGGGTACGCGGCGCACGATGATAAAGAAGACGGGCGGTGCAGACTTGGTCCGGGTGCGATGTTGCGGTCAAGCCGATGATCAAAGGCAAAGGCAATGACCGGGCTGCTAACTAGAACGATGAAAGAGGCAACAAATTGCCCAACAAGGCAGTCGAGCAACTCCGGGGGAGCAAATGGAGGAGTGGTTGTCGAGGGATCGATGGGGTGGTTTGCCGCAAGGGTGGAGCGGCAGACCGAAGAAGAAGCGTGCACAGAAAAGCTTGCTAGCGGCTTTTGATGGTGTAAAGAATTGCGAGATGGAGGACGACAATGGTGATGAATTATTGTTGGTGATGAGTGATGGAATACTGCAGCATGGTCTGTTTGCTGTTTGTTCATGTAGATGAAATGCCGACGAAATGGGCCGACCTGGGAGAACCAGAGCGAAAAACGGCGGGCGTCCCAATGTGGCAAGAGGTTTCCTGGAAACAGCCTGCTGACAGCTTGGCACCGGCGGGTGGTGGTGAGGGAGTCTGGCGTTGATAGGGAGGTACCTTGGCCTTTTAGCTGCATGAACTCCAGCACCTCCAGCACCTCCAGCACTCTGCCAGACACAATTACAGGCCCCAACCTCCCTGAACGAGGTTCCCACCGGCCCACAAATAACTACATCCATGCGCCCTCGAGTCCCTCGAGTCGTTTCAATCGTTACAAATAATATGCCCCCATATATCGCATACCTGCATAAAAGAATCACACCAATGCCTCAAGCATGAGAAGCCCCATGAAAAGCCAAAAATAGCTAGGGGGAGGGGAGGATACACAAAGATTCATCAAAACATACCTACCTATCTATGAAGAAAAAAAAAAAAAAGAAAAAAAAAAGACTAGGCCAAATGCCAAATGCTCCTGTTTCCTCTCCCGCCCCCTCCCCGAGCCCCTCCTGCAAACACACTTGATACTCGTCTGATGTCGGTCGCTGCGAGCCCCTCCTCTTTTTCCTAGGAGCTAGGGGCGTGTCTGTCCGTGCCTGTTGCGTGCGCAACGCCTTGATACTTTTTGCAAGATTCTTCCTGATGGTAAGAAACGTTTCTTGCCCCTTCTCTGCCAACCAACAGCGTTGCACACGCACGTCCCACCATCGATGGGAGCCGCATGGTACAACCAATACCGTTGCTGGACAACCGTAAAGAAGACAAGCAACAAGGCTTTCATGCAATCTTATGCAAATGATGCCATCTATTTTTCTTGATTTTGTTTTCTTGATTTTGTTTTCTTGATTTTGTTTTCTTGATTTTGTTTTCTTGATTTTGTTTTCTTGATTTTGTTTTCTTGATTTTGTTTTCTTGATTTTGTTTTCTTGATTTTGTTTTCTTGATTTTGTTTTCTTGATTTTGTTTTCTTTTTCGCTTCTGAATCAATCACTAGACACATCTTACCATTTCTAAATAATAGAGTTTCTCCCTGCTTCTTTCACAAGGCTCAACTCGGACAGCATGCTGCAAACCTCACCCGTCCATGGATCATCAAACCATCTAACCCTCTGTCCTGTCTGTGCTCCAGACCCTCCGTCCCGGCCTGCCTCGCTCCCGTCCCCCGCCCCCTGTAATGAACCAGCCTTTGTTCCTCACGAACAATGCGCGCCCCAAATCCTTTGTGATACCATTCGAGTCGGAATTTCCTTACCTTCCATGATCAAAGCACCAAAAGAAAAGTCTGACATCTTTTTTTTTTTTTTTCGCTCGACCTGTTGCGTCCCGTCGTGCGACATCCGCTGCCCTGTTCCAGACCTGACTCGACTCTGTCCTGTGTGGCACGTCACGTTACAAACGTAAACAAAGCCAGGGCGATGGAAACACGAAAGAAAAAAAAGTCGCTCAGACCCCCCCGGTCTTGGTCGACATCTGCCGATTGCACTTTATTAATAAATCTTCGCCGTGTTTTCTTCTTCCTTCGCGTTGTACAAGGAGAAGCCAGCTGGCCAGGGATCAATCATACCAGCCGTGCGTGGGAAGGAACCAACTGCCGTTCAAGCCGTCCAACTTAGTAGCCTCGCACCCACCCGCCATGTATTATATTACATATATTGTACCTACTACCAACAACACATTCTGTGGTGAGGCTTTTTGACAGGCATACTAGTCATGTAGGGCATATTTCACACGAATCCGCGGGCTTGCATTCGTACACCTTGTCGTCACGAGTAGCCCCTCATGCAAAATCTTGCTTGATTCAAGTGTATTCAGATAAACAACCACGTATTTGGCTCATACTTTTTTTTTAGCTCCCATACGTGCTCCTCACCTCTCCGCCCAGGAAATCGCAAAAACGCCATTTATCAGCCAAAAATAGCTCACATCATCAATTCCTTTTTCCGAGCGGACCCCCGCGTCGTTCAACAGACCGTTGCAACTTTTTATATGCTAGTAGGTTCCGCGGCCCTCGACGAACTCGGCGTGGAATGAATGCAGGATGGAATCCGTGTCATCAATGGCAATCCGTCTCACGCTCGCAAGCTGCTTAATCTTGGCGGTGCTGTGAAATCTGTCAGTCTCTCCTCTACGCGGCAAGCGACACACAAACACGTACACTTCCTTGACTTGGTCGTCCGACATCTTGAGGCCGAGCTGCTCAACACGGGACTTGACGGCATTCCAGCCGGTAATCGGGCTGTTGATCGAGACGTAGCGGGTAAGACCAAAGTCTTCGGGGTTGATGATTTCATATGTCGACGGGTTGTTGAGAATGGCCTTGGCGTGGATGCCAGCCTTGTGAGTAAAGGCGCAGAAACCAGTAATAGGGTTGTTGAAGGGAATGTTCTGGCGAAAGGTTAGCATGGGTTCATCCTAGGGGTGGAAAAGAGTAACTTACAATTTGCACAGCGTCGGCAACCAGTGTCTCAAGAGACTTGAGCTCCTTGAGCTTATACTTGGACTTGACGTATTCTGGGGCGCTGACAACCATGCGGGCCATGAGAGCACCAAGGGGGGTGATGCCGTTGCGCTCACCTATTTCATGTTAATGTTGTTTTCTTCGTCTGCCCTCTGCGTGACTAACCAATTCCGAGAACTGAGGTATCAATGTGGGTGGCACCGGCCTCGAGGGCGGCGTGGGCGTTGGCAACGGCACATCCTGAAAGAGTTAGCAGAGTCCTCATCCGTCATTTTGTCGTGCCATCCTACCGGTATCGTCGTGGAAGTGAGTCTCGATATCGCAGTGCACGACACCTACATGGTTGATTAGTATCCAGGCTGTACAGTGGCTCCACGTTGTAGACTTACCGCGCAGGGTACGCACGAGATCGTACACCATTCTGGGGGTGGCTCCGCCAACCGTGTCGGCGATACCAACGCGATTTACGCCAGCGGCATCAACGGCCTTGTACAGGGACAGTAGATCGACGAGGTCGGAGCGGAAAGAGTCCTCGGATGAGAATCGGACCTGGACACCCTCACTGAAAAAGAGGCGCGAGTTAGCGTCGGGAGTGCGAGGGGTAGCAGCGCAACCACAACATACCCCTTGAGGTACGCGATAACTTCGAGGGCAGTCTTCTGAATGTAGGCCATGCTCTTGCCGTGGGAAAACTCGCGGAGGAAGCTAGAGGTACCAATGACGAGATCGACACCGTCGACACCAGTGCTACAACCCCGTGTTAGCCTTGCTTGTATCGCGCATTTGAGCAAGTGGCGACTCACGCTACCGCAGCCTTGGCGTCCTCCATGTTGCAGCGAACATCTGTTAAAAACGAAAGAAAATATTAAATCGATTCTGTCGAATAAATGACATGTCAATATCACGTACGGGTAAGAATCTTGGCCTGTTGTCGAGACGTCGTGTTAGCGAGATCGGACACATGTGTGCAAGAGCGGGCCCGGCAGCACGTACATTGAGGCCGAGGCTGCAGATGAGCTTGCAGTCATTGAAGGCCTGCTCCGAGGCGACAGGCGAAGTCAGCTCGATAAAGTCGACGCCGAAAGAGTCGAGAGCCTTGGCACTGTATTATTGACAAGTCAGCGGTCTGCGCAATGAATCCTCCCCGGGTCATCGGGGCGGCCCTCTCCTCGTGTGGAGGGCCGACTCGGAGGGGTAATATTTTGGGTGGTGGTTGCGTACATCTTGACCTTGGTCTCGGTGTCGAAGAAGGCGTTGGCAAACTGCTCACCCTCACGCAGGGTGGACTCGATAATCTTAAAGTTGGCGACATTGGAGAGGTAGTCCTGGACGGACTGGTAGGGAGAGCTGGCTGAGCGGTGCTGGCTGCTGCCATTTGTGCCATTGGCGGCACTGCCATTGGCGTCGGCGCCTCCGTTGCAGCCTCCGCACATGGTTGCGAGATGTGGTATTTGTGTTTGTGTATCGGGTAGAGTGGTGAAGAGGGGAGGAATGCGCGCAATTATGTCGTCCGGTATTGATACAAAAAAAGGCTAGGAGCAATAGAGAGAGAAAAAAGGCTTCTTATAAATTTTGTAACAAGATTTTTTAACTTTGTATTGGAGGGGAGGGGCCTTGATATAGCGGGGACGCAGCAGCCAGGTAATGTGGCCAGTCCGATTGCCGGAGTTTCTGTGATTCATTCACAAGTAAATCCCCAGGTCCCGATACGTCAGAGCTCACGTGGCACCCCATCATGACATGCAAATTCAGTGGTGCAGTTGGTTAAATCACAAACAAACCTAGGCACATAACCACCTCGCCATGCCCAGGCTCCGCTAGAGCGATTTATATGCTGCCGATGCCGATGAATTGACCAAGAGGATTCGCGGTGACTCTACGGACGGGTACCCATTGCTCCATTCCGCCGCTTCCGATGACCACCGTGATTGGTTAATTACTCACTGTCGCTCAAGTCTACACCAAAACCGCCATCAATCCAGCAACCTTTGAGTCAAGCTACTCGCTGTTCCCTTCAGAGGCCAGCTGACTGACTGCTGGGTGCATCCCGATGCTAGCTCGCAGATATTTGCACACGCTAGCTCCTTCAAGCCGGCGTCCTCTTCAGCTCGCATGCTGCAACGTCTCACGGCATTTTCCATGCCGGGGCTGACGTTGCGTACGAGACGCAGCATCCGCCGTCGTAGCAGTGAAAGCCGTGCGTCCAGCCGTACGTTGAATGCGGATGCTGGCCTCGGCGGGGGCAGAAGCGCATCGTGGGCTGGGTCCGTGAGCAATCGACTCGCCGCCAGTGCCCCGGATTCTGCGCCCGGGTATCGCGGCAGTTGTCTTAGTAGATCCCGGCCACGGTTTGCCTGGCTGCATGTCGCGGATGCTGTGTTGTGGTTGGTGAAGACGTCAGCTCCATCACAGAGCTTCCTGGAGTTGAAGAGGTGAAGAGTCGCCATGCGCCGGTTGCAGGATCGTCGTCACGGTGCATGGGCAAAAGAACTGCCGTTTCTTCAGCTATAAGCCAGCCATTGATGCAAGGACCACGCAACCTGCCGTTTGAAGAGACCCAGGCCATACCCTGTTGAATAACCAGGTAGACAGCTTGCAGCCCCAGTTGTATGCGAGAGGAAAGGAAAACGCCCCCAGAGAAGAAATGTGACGGCCGAATTTAATAAAGATGAACTCGATGTGAGAGCAATCAGAACAAATTAGCCACGTATGGCCTCATATGCAACCAATCGAAGCTATGAGAAAGCCACTCAGACGGGCAGGTGTCCAATTAATGACGGACATGTTGCATTTCTGGGCTGGGCTTCGAAACAAGCGTGCATTAGACACAGTAGCCAATGCATCATAATTTAGCAACTTTTTGGACTTATATGAGTCCTTCTAGCGGGCATAATTTATTGCAGTCGCATCCGGGCTTGCATTTGTCGAGTTCCTTGATTTGCCAAGTATCCATAGCAACCTAGACAGTTGGCGGCAATAAGATAATAGCAACAAATAGTAGAGAGAGCAAGATAGAATCGAGAAGAGAAATGTGTTTTTTTTTTTTTTTGGATTCTACCCAAGTGTCGAACTCTACACAGATGGCGACATTAGTGGTTGTCCGTCTGCCCCGATCCGGTGCCAAAACTCCAGGCGATTTCGGCCAGCAAATGACAAGTTAGGCTGACAAGTACAAACTGACACAGAAACCCTGCAAATGTTTGGGCGAAACAAGGCAAAGAACGACTCACAGCCAGTCAAAAGGACGATGGCAAGGGGGGCCGCGACAGGAGAAGACCCTTTTGTCGGAACCCCTGACACAACCAACGTCATTGCCTGACGGCGGTCCCTTCAGCGTTGCACACGATATTTTCGTATTCGACGGGCGTTTGCCCAGAATCGCTTCTTTATTCCTGCATTGCACATTTCTTCTTCTTTTCCGGGACACTGCCGTCTATGCAGCCGCCACAAACTGCCAGCCATTAAACGTCCGATTCGATTTGACGCGTTCCCAATCAACCATGGTCAACTGCACCGTCGTGCCATCCACGGCTCCCAGCGAGGCTGGCGTCGCCGGCGCAGGCGTATGTTTCTTCACAGTCACTTTCTTTTTGTCGTTTTTTTTCTTTCTTTTACTAACCGCTCTTCTTCTACTCTCCCAGATTCTCCTCTCCTTCATGATCACCGCCGTACTCGCCCTCGGCCTGTCCGCCAGCGTCGTCGCCGCCGAGATGCGCGGCCGTCCGGCAGGCATCCGGCGCAAGCTCCTCAGCGGCTTCAGCGACTCGCAAATCGTGCAGGGCATCGGCCTGCAGTCGGTCGGCCTCGCCAAGATGGGCTCGCTCGTGCCGTACCACTTCTTCCTCATCTGGATGCTCTCGCTGCTGTCCATGGCGACGCACAACGCGACGCTGCTGGCCCTCGTCCGCGACTACCGCCGCGACTGGGTCCTGCGCTGGCTGCGGCAGGCCCTCATGCTCGCCAACCTCGCCCTCTCGTGCGTCTCGGGCGTCTTTACGCTGCAGGTCGTCTCCCGCGGCATGGCCTTTTCCACGCTGCCCGTGGCGTGCGCCTGGGACGGCGGCGGGCAGACGACGACGACGACGTTTGGCAAGCCCCCCGGCGGCGCAAAGGACGCGCTGTCGTATGTCGGCACCATTGCCGTGATTACGGGCAACGTGGTCGTCTTCGTGCTCGCCACGTGGTACCTGCACAGCCGCGCGCAGCAAAAGGCCTGGTACAAGACGGTGCAGGTCGCCGGGCTGCTCGTCATGACGGCCGTTGCCGTCGGCGCCGCCGTGCGCGTCGTCCTGCTGTCGTCGGCGTTTGGCACGCCCTCGGTGCCGCTCGCCGACGACGGCGAGAAGCAGTGGAGCTTCGGCCAGCTGCTGTCCGTCCTGCTGCTCGTGCTCCCGCTCATCTCGGCCATTGAAATTTACAGGGGCGACGTCCAGGTCGCGCCACCGGCTGCTGATGGCAGGAGTCCGCTGTACGACGGCGAGCTGCAGGCCGGGCCGCGCAGCAAGTTCCAACCCAATCCGTTCTTTGGCTCCGAAACGAACTTGTTTAGGAAATGAAGCTGTGATTTTTTTCGTGAAGTTGGGGAGGGGGTGTTTACGATGGATACGGGTTGCAGGGTAGTAATGGTAGGGCTCTTCTGCATTTTCCAAAGGCGTCATGGAGCTGGCTACAAATATGGCTGTTTTCTTTTTTCTCGGTTCGTTACAGAATTAGCGTTAAAAATGCATCATTTCTATTACAAGGACACGCGGGGCTCTGGCTTTATCGACCGCTGCGCATGTAGTACCTAATCGGTTGTATAACAGATCACTCCGCTCTGTGAGGCGCGACGGCTTCTATGTCTTCAACTCCAACATGAAGCCAGAGTATTCATTCATGTGCAAGAGGCTCGTTCTTTGAAAGCTGAGCGTTTCACTTGGCCGACCTCGTGTCACCTTGTGGAACACCTCGACGTGCCTTGTGACTTGGTCTTCATCAATAGCCTCAGGATATGCGAAACATATCAGAGTCCCCTACGTTCTTCGGCCGCGAGACCGATAGGCTGGCATGTAAGTGTGTGAGACCTGCCGATAGACAGAAAATTCTCCGACGAGCTATGCAGGGCGAACAGGGTTGCCGATCGAATCTGCCGCATACCGGTCGTAACGCCATTTCGCTCATCGCTGTATTGCAAAAAGCAGCACCGAGATGTCTCAAAGCGAGTCTGTAGGCCGGCGTTTTGAAGACCTCACGTACGAGCAAGAATGCTGGCATGTTGTCAAGGTACTCAATACACAACTAAGCCAGACTAGTATGAGGTTTAGTTGGGACTTGGTATTATTTTTTCTGTCTTATGCAATGTATGCCATCCTCACCGATCCTCTCGCCAAGAATAAATCATAGAACGACACACTTGGCCGGCAAACCACACGGTCCCTCCCTGGACTTTTTTTCTTGCTGTTCTGCCGAGCTAGCCGCCTGCCCCGGCTTCCTCACGGTGCCCGCCGCCGCCGCCGCCGCCCCGACTCCGTTCGATTTGGATTCGCTACCATGTATTCAGTTGCCCTTGACGGCGTTGTAAAAGGCCTCGCCCTGGATGGTGGCAATCTCAATCTCCTTGGCCGAGGGCTGGCGGGAGCCGTCGGCGCCGGAAAATGTGCCGGCGCCCCAGGGGGAGCCGCCGTGGACCTCGCTCAGGTCGGCCAGCTGCGCAAACGACTTTGCGTAGCCAAGAGGCACAAACTGGATGCCGTGGTGCGCGAGCGTCGAGAGGGCCGCGAGCGCCGTCGACTCCTGGCCGCCGCCGAGGGTGCCGGTGGAGATGAAGAGGCCGGCCTTTTTGCCCCAGTAGCCGCCGGACGACCAAATCTGGCCAGTCTTGTCCCAAAAGGTCTATATATATATTTTTTTCAGTGGTTAGTTCTTCATGTATAGATGTAGGGAAGAGGCGCAATGGGTGGCGGGGGAGGGGGGGGGGTTTACCTTCCACTGGGCGGGAAAGTTGCCGTAACGGGTTGGGATGCCGAGAAGGAGGCCGTCGTACTCGAGGAGCTGGTTGGGGTTCTCGAGGACAGTCACGTCGGTGGGCTTGGGGGGCGCGTGCATCTTGTCGAGAACGTCCTGGGACAGCGTCTCAGGGATCTGGAAAAGGTCGGCCGTGCCGCCGGCCTTTTCGATGCCCTTTTTCTCGGCATCGGCCAGTGCCCTGATGTGGCCGTACATTGAGTACTAGAGCATATTAGCGAAATGTCGAATCATTGTCATGGTCTGATTTTGCGTGGGGGGGTGAATAGCTCGAGCTAGTGAGTGCATCGACGAGGAGGGGCAGCGAGGGGTAGCTTGTGAGTGCGCGGCGAAAGAGGGCAACGTACGTAGACAATTGCAATTCTGACCATGTTGGCGGTGGTGTTTTGAAACTGTTGTGTGAAGGGGTATGGACAAGTAGATTTACACAGACTGTGCTGGGATGAGGAGAGAAGAGGGAGAGGAACTAGCTGTAGGAGGGACGGGTGGCGCTCTTATACTCGCAAGCTACCAACGTGGTGGCCGGATGCAGCCAACTTCAGCCGCCCAAACAAGACGCAGTGTTTTGGGACGATCGAGCTGCCATCTCCACCCGGTTGTTGCATTGGTGATGATTGCTAAGGGTCATAGGCTTGGATGGCGCGTCCCCTCTTGTTACTTACACACCCTGTCCCTTGGAGTCGGGCGGGGGCAAAGAGTTACGGTACCAGATGTATGGCGTAATTCGTAATTGGGCAGTGTCGTGGTGACCCATGCAGGCCGATTCGAGATTCACTGAGAGTCCCTGAATCAGTGCACAATACCGCGCGCGCAAAATCGGCAGGCGGTGCTTTGTTTGGCTCTGTCTTTTCCGATTACATGAATCTGACCAACCGATCCCCCCCTGCGAGCTGGTACATGAGGCTGGGTGGAGTTTGGCGGGGTTTATAAGTACCGAGCCAGCCAGGCTGAGAGTGGAGTCGCTGAAGTGCATTTGTGAGCAGCGAGGCTGGATTAGCCAACGCTTGCATAAGCCAGCCATTACACACAAGGGTTGTTGGAGGTTCTCCTTGTTGAGATTGTTTGCAACTGCGCAAAGATGAAACTTCATAAGAGAACCCAATTATTTCTGCATGTCAGCGTAGAGAACTTCCTCACAATGAATGCGAGTAGCGAGCCCAGATCAGCGTAAGCATCACAATGCACAAGGATGCTCGTTGAAATCATGAGGGCGCAATATGCCACCGTCACAAAGAAAAGCATGCGTAGACAATAAATATTTTCCCATTATAACTAGACAAAATCCCCCGATGGCTTACACTGTCTGTATATTTTTTTGCCGGTCTAGATGATTCATCATGCTATAAAATAAAACGCTGCGCCTGTTCAAAACGGCAAAACAAGAATCGCTAAACTACCCAAGACCAAAATAAACGCGTTTAAACAAATCGAGATCCCATATATCATTACGTCGTATTGCACTCCCACCGCATCAATGCGGGTGCCGCTCAATCACAATCTGCGGTACCGGTCCGGCGAAGCTACTCGACCGCCGCTGCTGCTCTTGACCGCCGTCCACCGGCACATCCGACCACGCGCCCGGACTAAATCTCCCCTCGGTATACCCCGGTGGGTGCAGCGCCTCTCTCGGCGGCGCCCCGGCCTCCTCATACCGCGGCGGCGGCCGCTCCTCGGTCCCGCCAAAATCCAGCGGCACCTCGACCAGCTCCGGACTGGATCCCGCCAGCGGCGAGTCACCGCCGCTCGGCGCCGCCACGTGCTGCTGCTCACGCGAGTAAGCCGGCGAGAGGGGCTCGCCGCCCACGCTCACAAACGACGTCACGCTCCGGTTGCGGCCATGCACCGACGCGTCCGGCCCCGCGGCGGCTGACTCCCCAATGCTCGCCGCATCAGCCAGCAGCCCCATGCGCTCGCTGTCGTTGCTGCTCGCGCGGACGCGGCTGCCATCGTGCCGGGCGACGCCAAGGTCCCCGTACGAGACTGTCGAAACGGACCGCAGACGCTGGTCCTGCGCGCGACTCGCGTCCTGGCGGAGCTCTGTGATGGTCTCGTTGCCGGCGGCCTCGTGCGCGCGGGCCGCGCGCGCGCGCTGTCGAA